ATTTTGGACCACACTGCCGACACTGTAAGGAATCAATCATTAAAGCGAAACGATACCCTTTCTTCTCCTTGTATCTCTCCCCCCCCCCCTCTCTCTCTCTCTCTCTCTGTATATATATATATATATACACAGTGCGTCCCAGAAAAAACGAAACCGAGAACTATCAATGTTTTATCATAACTTAGTCACATTTATAATTACTAAATGACATATATTTTGAAAGCTTAGATCCTCCTCTTTCATTTGATGCAACTCATATGATAAACGAAAGACTTAATGCATGGCTGATTGTCAACGAAACGGAGTTAAGTCTGTTGTCAACTCTGCTTGTTGCTACGGCGGGCACCAAGTGAAAACGAATTCGTTTGATAAAATAATGAAAATGCAAGCACTACTTTAAACAAACAGAACTTTGTCATTCCTTGCTTCTTTTTTCTGATTGAGATGTCATATGAAAGGGCAGAAGCTCAACTTTCTAAAAATGTGATTTTCTCATTGAAATTCAGATACCGTCCGCCAAATGACTTTTTGGTTTCCTCTCTTCAAATTCATTTAAATCACTCGTGCGTGAAATATGCTTCATATGAGTTGCATCAAATGAAAGAGGAGGGTCTAAGCTTTCCAAATATGTGTCATTTATCAATTATAAATGTGATTAAGTTATGATAAAACATCGATAATTCTCGATTTCATTTTTTCTAGGACGCACTGTATATATATATATATATATATATATATATATATATATAAAGTAATAAACTTACATTATTTAATTTTTATGCCGGTAAAATGTTATGTTGATTTCACTAACATTTTACTGTGCAGTTATTGTAATATAAATGTGAGTTTGCATATGTGGTTTTTGACAAAATGAATATACTTGTTTATGTTATATTACTTGATTATTTAAATGGAAGTAAGAAGGTATTTAAAAAATTCAATCGCCACTGAGTGTAGGAGATTGCAAACTTGTGATCATGATTGGAGGACCTGCGATCGATTCGGATCAATGGTAGCTCTTTATACTATGCCCCGTCCTTTATCCAGGCTATGATCGAAAAGCTCAGAATCATACTCCTGTCTTGGAGTCGTCAGGTAATGGTGGCACCGATTAAATGCTTACCCATGCCATCGAAATGATTGACTGGTGCCGTTCTATCTACACGTGTACAGTATATTAAGCTCACGCACGCCAGTTATTCTTCACTCCTGACGACGGATAGTCAACCTGTTCGAAACGTCGAGCCACTTCCGCCACTCATCCTCTCCAAGCGCTATAGTTCTCCTTAGAACTATAAGCTAAGAAAGATAACCAACATTCTTTTTCAAGACTATATTAAACAGTCCTTTTCAGGACTACACACCCTCAAAAAAGATTACTGAGAGTCCTTTCCAAGTCTCCTCAATCCTCCCTCTCTCTCACATGGTGCACCCGCAAGCCTACTGCATATGTACAATATATGCATTCTCTATTAGATGCTGGAGAGATCTGCCCTACCGGATGGCGATATCTAGGGACCAAATGCATCCGTATCTCTGTAGGTAGAGCCTGGGAGGATGCACGAGATTCCTGCATAAATCTGCCTTCTAAACAATTAGATGATGGTAGCACCAGGAGCCCTTCTCTTCTCTTTCTGGAAAGTCCCACTGAATCAGCAAATCTCATCCAAACTTACAACGGAAGTGATCCCTGGGTCAACTATCGCTATGATCTTGGGAATGTCACGAGGGTATGCGAAATCGATCGAAGTGGTCATGTACCCTCAAATATGAGTAAGTACTGAAACAAGTTTTCTTCATTTCATGTTTGATTGGAATTCAAAAACATGCAGCTGGCCGTTTTTTAAATCCATTTCAGGATGGGCGCTGTCGAGAACAAAATATTTTTTCAAAATAAAAAAAAAGAAATGATTTGTAATCTATTTTATTATGACATTTCTCAAACTTTTGTGCAATGTCGCTAAGCAGAGAGAACGGAATGAGGCACTTCCATGTAACCTATTATAAGTGTAATTAAATGCTGAGTTCTTTCCCTTACTTTTATTTTTCACAGTTTTTCACTAAATGTTACCAGTGTCACATTTAATGGTACAGTTTACTTGAAAGTATTTTTTTTAATGGTTACCGTTTGTTAATGTGATTTACATATAGGCCTAATTTGTATGTAGAAATGGATTTTTAACAAATTTGAATTTGAAATGAAATGCAAGTCTAATTTTTAAGAGCCGTGAAGACTTAGTCTCTTTCCCCCAATTTTTTTTTTAGATTGGGCGGTGAGTGAGCCAGGCTTTGAAGGAAATCTCTGTGCAATTGTCAACATGACAACTGGGGAACTGTACAGTGCTGCTTGTAACAACGTAAGACCAACGATATGCCAAATCCCGATATCAGCTCACATCCTTCCCTAGTAGTGGAGTAGGGGGTCGTGGCCTGATATTAATGACCATGGCGTTGGACTGAGTCGCGTGTACAAATTCTATGGAAGTTCAAAGTTGCTTAAAGCGGTCTTGTGAATTGGAACTGCCTGCATATAGACATGCGACATCACTGGTTCCAGTCCAACATGATTGCAGTGATCTAGCTTTAATCGTGATCATCATGTAAATTATATAACAGATTTAAATGAAATGTCAATACATTTAGGGCACATCAAGTGATACATAGCCCTATAATCTTTTAGATATAATTTTAGAATTTAGTACTGACTTGAAGTGTTTTTTGATAGCCATGTAAAAACTAAAGTGAACTAAAATAATACGCTTATTTCCTTTTGAAAAAACGGTACATGTTTTACTGTAAAATTGATGCAGTATGCTTCAGAAATTAGAATGAGGCAAATATTGCGAAGGCGAAGTCTTTGTCGGGATTACAATAATCAGATTATTGGAACGCAAACAAATTCCTTGGTATCAAGTTTTACGCACCTTTTGATATTTAGTATCCTAAAATTTGGCTTACTCAACAAGGTAATTGACAATGAGTGTATATTTGCTATAAATACAATTAATGTAAACTCTTCACATTTTCAATTTTTAATTAACTGTAATTTATTTTGTCTGAATATTTATCTATATAACAGACTATCAATAAAATATATAAAAACCCTCATACGAGTACATGATGATAACATTAGCAGATTCAGCCGTGAGTTAATATTCGATAAAATGTGATAAGTTATAGTATATAGAACGTTTAACAGATGCATAACGCCCACTAGTGTATCCACATAAACTGCTCTTATCATTTTAAACAGGAAATCAAGTCGAAAGAAACAAACGATTCCTTTAAAGAAAATGTAAAAGTTCATACTTCTTATTTTCTCTCACGTGTTTTGTTTATTATGACCTTTTCCCCGTTTTCAATTGTATTCCGACGCTGGTCACCATTTTTACTACCATATTCTCACAGAATAACATTCTACATTAAGCAATCATTCGAGGCGTATGCTTACGTATGTAACTGGTATGAATTATTAAAATTGACAAAAGAACAAGTTTGTGTGTTTCAGATTGATTTTAATTTTCATTCATATTATACATTGTTTTGCATAAAGATTACTTAGTTTTATTACGGGTCAAGCGATAGCATTGTGAAAGAATCGTCTGAAATCTAATAGGAAGATTTATAAAGAAGAAACTAATTCATGCATACAATGATCAAAATAAAGAGAATGGACTCGATCTTGCTGAAGACCAAACGCATTTCACACAGACATGGGACTACATGGTCCAAGCTTTTCCGCTATTTGTTATCATTCGAATAATTAATGGGGGCACTTGAAGAGCAACCTGAGCCAGGTGAAGTCATTCTTATTTTGACATTCTTCTAGAGTGAAAAATCAAATATAACGCGAGAAATCCCACACATCATTTTCAACCTCGGTCCTTCTCTTTGAGCAGGCAGAACTGGAGGCATTCTTTCCAATCACAATGCCAATCATGGTGGCTTTCAAGTTTCACGTTCATTTTGTTTCACATTTCACAAAAAAAGAATTCACATAGTTGACAAAATTAGAATATAATATGAAATCTAATAAAAGTATCACATTATATAATATATTCTTTGTAAAGACGTCAAAATTAATTGTTTTGAATAATAGGTAATACAGGGTGAAATGTGAGGAACCTATATTAAAAAGCTCAGCTTTTAGATTATAGGTTCCCCTAAATAAAACTAATATTAATTTTGATTAAAGTGGTTGCAATGGTGAAGGACGTAACAATAATAATAATAGGTGGGCAAAAAGGCCTTAAAGACCGTTAATACTACTGGGCCAGAAGGGATTAGACCACACAGCGAGGTCACTGACAGGTGGCTATCTCATTAACTTCGCTCTCAACTAACATGAGAAAAAGAGGACCATGGGGGACCAACAGGCACCGATTGGGAAAGTTTTCTATATAGAGGGAGCAAGTAGGGACAGTGGGGCTTTAACATAAGATGATACACAAAGTGAAACAAGCAATAATAGCAAAAACAGCAAACAAATTAATTTGTTACCAATTAAGAAATGTCACGTTAGTCACTTTAAAATATTGAGGCCATTGAACGAGGTCATGATTATGATGGCGAATACGATCGCAATTACCTCCTCTGTAAATAGGCAACTACTTATATGTTTCATGCATCCATTGTTCGATCACAATTATTACTGCCTGGCGACGCACTTAAAGAGAATCTTTAGTACAATTGCATTGTGAAAGAAAAGGTGTGGAAAGGATCAGAAACAGTTGATCATGTAGCATGTAAGTATTGGTGTGCACTGCAAGGTTTTGGAGTCATCAAAATCATAATAAATGTGACCGAGTCTTGGTAAAGTAACAAGCACATACACAGAAAGCTATATATGGGACAACACACATGGTGTCGGGGCTGGTACTACCTTGATTCCTTGTCTTTCTATGCTCATTACTAAGCCAGTATACATTTTCTTCCAAAATTGTTTGGCACATGTCATTTATTTGTAATCTTGAACATTCAGTGAAAGTTTCGTTTGATTCTGTGAGAAATAATTTTTTTTTTTTTTTTACCAGAACTCAAGTTTATCTTTAACAGACAAAGTTGATTTGCTATATCAATTTATTTTGCACGAGTTACCTGCGCTGATCAAATTCGTTTACTCATTACCGCTACATTAGCCGTTTTTGTTTAAAAATAATATTGGCTTCCGGCATGCCTTTGCCATTTCTCTAATTCATCTTTAAATCATCGATAGCCATGGCTGTGATGATTATAGAATATGACGCCAGTATATACAACAACAACAACAACAACAACAACAACAAAAACAACAATACTTCTACGACAACTAATAACTTCTGGCTCTTGTATAGCGCTCACGTCAGTCAGGCTTGAACCGCACTCCACATTATTACCCAACTTCAGCATGGCTGCCATTATGAAACTTTAGTATTTCAATAACCATTCATTATTTTGTTGTCATTTGTTGCTATCTGCATAGTAATGCAACCCTCTCACTTGCCATGTTCTTACCGTACAGGAGTTGACATCCATATTTTGATGTTGAGAGGGGGGGGGGGGGGTCATTTGAGATCGCTTCAATTAGAGTGGAATCCACTTTCTCTCTAAAGAAAAGAGATATTTAACCAATACCTTGGAGTCGATTCAACTCCAAAGAAGTGGATTTCACTCCACTTCGTTAAGCCAATACAAACCATTTGTATTATCTGATTAGTCAGTGTTTTTCAATAAAAATTGCCCTACTTTGGCTATGTTTTTTTCTTCAAATGTTTACGCGAAGGCGTTTGCTTCAAAACAGTTCACCTGCTAGATAGACAAATGAATATTGAATCAAATCAATGGATTATTTTGTTCTCACAATGTGAAACACGTAGATATTCCCATTAGCAGCGGAGCATAATATACATAAAATGGGCATCTTCAAAATGTGATATGTATTTCGGCGTGATTTAAGACTGGTGTAGAATGTGTACGTGATGTAACAAAATGTAACTTTGATATATTCATACAATCATATATACTATGGCTATATGCACGAATTCTGTATGTACCACACTTTTTTCCCGCTTGATATTCATATTGCCAATGTGCCAGTATACTCAAACACATACGTCTTTCTGTCTTGCTATCGAATTCAGGTGCAATATTTTTGGTATTCTATTCGCGAACATATAATATACAAGTTTTACTATTGGGCAGGTACCCCATATTTCACATTTTATTTCTTTTCTATGTTTACATGTCTAACAATATTTCATTATAATATATTCTCTTGTTAAATCTATTGTATGAGACAATCTTGTTATGTTAAAATTGGAACAATAACAAAACAACAACAAAAAAATATATAGATTTGTCCCTTTCCACTTTTACCGACTCACAGATATCACTGATTCTCTTGAATCGTCTTTTCTACCCACTCGACAAAGTGTGGAAGTCTTGCGTAGACACCGTAGGTATTCTGCAGCCCACACCCTAGACCATAACTCACGATCCCAACCTGCCTGTAGATACCATTACGACTCACGACCAAGGGACCGCCAGAATCTAGATTACACGCATCCCGCTGGTCCGCTCCCGCGCAAAGTTCGGTCGTGGTGTCGACTGGGATCTGGTTGTTGTCTTGCATCACTCTTCGGCATTCTGTCGCTGACACGAGGGGTACGTCGACTTCCTGGAGATTCTTGGTTGCAGGATCGATCGGTTCGTCAGGCAGTCGTATGTCGCTGTGACCCCAGCCTGTGACTTTGGCCACCCTGTCTGGCTTCAGGTACCAATTGGCTTTTCAAGAAATTTAATTTAAAAAAGAAAGAAGAAAAAAAGTCAAGTAGAGAAAGAAGAGGGAGAGATAGAGAGAGAGATAGAGAGACAGACAGACAGACAGAAACGGAGAGAAAGGGGAGGGGGATATATAAAAAGATTAAAACTATACAGCAAGAGAAAGAGAAATAAAAAGTAAAACCTTTCGAAAAATGAAACTAGGGCACTTTCGATAAGCCTCGTCCATCACTTACTGAATTTTGCGAACATAATAAGTATGTATAAGGAATCCAAACGTGATTCCTTCGGGATATACAATCTCGTACATAATTTGCCCCTTTGTTGTTTTGGGGAAAGTCTAGTCGTATAATCAGGCGCGTACGAAGGGGGAGGGGGGGGGGGGGGTTTGGGGGTTAACCCCCGCTTTTGGTATTTTTTTATGTGTGTATTTTGGTAATTTAAAAAAAAAAAAAAAATGATAATAAAAAACAAACAATATATATATATATATATATACCAATGGCTGACCTAAAAAAGGGAGCCTTACCCCCCTCTAACGGGGCAAAATGTCAAATTTTCAAATTTCGAGACAAAAAAAAAAGTGTCCTCTTACCCGCCCCCGCTTATTAAAAAAGTGTCCTCTTACCCCCACCCCCCCCCCCCCGCTTATTCAGCGGCTGGCTGAGTCGTTGCAAAAATTTTGGCCCGATTTAAAAAAATGTTAACCCCCCTCCCCCTTGAAAAAATCCTGCGTACGCCACTGCGTATAATATTGATTCCAAAACATCACGACAATATTTCCATGCCGATGTGCCTTGGATTAGTGCTTCATTTACTAGACTCTCCATCCAAGGGTTGAGGGTTCGAATCCTACCCAAACACTAACGGCCCTTATATACTTGGCAAGTTATTAAATAAATCCGCATTAAATGACCACATTCCACCCAGGTGTAAATATGTACCAGGCAATTGCTGGAGTAACGATAAGTGCAGGCCCCCGCCCACTCAGTGTTATTTAAGGTACGCGTATGCATCCCTCCTTTTGAAAACACCCCCCCCCCCCTCCCTAAGTCAATACGGGCGGATTTGTGTGTACTATGAGCCGGACTTTGGTGCATGAAAAATACTCCTTTACCGGACATTTTGGGAACACGCATGTCGTCCCTCCGACCCCGGAATGGGGGGGGGGGGGCGGGGTGCACGGCCCTCGGGAAGAACAGCATTGGTGCTACGATGAGACTTTCCTGCGTCAAAATTATTGACGGTTGACTAATGAATTTTCTAATTCCCATTGGCTTCATACGGGGACCGCTCGTTTCCCGTATGCAATGGGCTAATGCTATTAACATCATACCTTTCAATGGATCTGTCACAGAGCTTGGTGGAAGACACACCGTACGCACATACGGGTTGAGCTCAGCTTCACGATCCAACCGCAAGAGGGCGACATCGTTATGCTGTGCACTACCTTCGACGCTGTATTGTGGATGGAAGATGAGCTGGGCAATGTCAAACTGCTGTGACCTTGGCAGATCGCCAGACCTATCTGTCAACCCTACGGTTAAAATCACGGATATGGATGTAGTGAGTTCTGTGAGATTTCCAAAGGATACTGATCATAGTGAAATCGTTAGATCAGGTAAGAATAGCAATAAAACGTATGACGAGTGGCAGATCCAGACTCCAGTGATACTATCGTGTTAGGGTGGGGGGGGGGGGGGGAGGGTTGAGGGGAAGGGGGGGGGAGAGATTACTTGGCCTCTACTGTGATTTTAACAACAAAAAACCCAAAGTTTTAGGAAATTTTACGACAAAATGAGAAAGATAGATGGAAAGATGAAGGTAGGGGGAGCAAATTTCAGGAACAAATGTTGAAACCAGTCAAGTGTTTCACTACATCTCAGAATAATTAATTGATTACGAACCAATATCAATACGAAAGAGAGAGAGAGAGAGAGAGAGAGAGATCTAACATGAGCATCTATCTAAGCCATGGGTAAAACCATGGAGCTCCAAATAGTGTTGCAACTTATTTCATTCTCCCGTTATGAATAATTGGATTTTAATATATAGTAAGAATGCGAATCGCATACGTTAATTGTTGTTAGGTAAGGCAAATATTATGGCTTGTCCTACCTAACAACACGTAATGTATGCACTTTGTACTCAGACTACTAAAATGCAATAATTCATTATAGTTGAATGAAATAATTTGTAAACGAGGCACTTAAAGGAAAGGTTGACTTCTGGGAAACGGTGACAAATAATTTGTTGGCATTTTCATTGTCATTATGCAAGTGTGAAAGAATATCAGAGAAAACATATTCCGTCAAGAACATGGCTCTTCAAATGCCTTCATATTCTAAACATAACCTTTATCAGCTTAAAAATGAGGCCCACATTTGTATGCCACATGTTTGTGTAGTCCCATATACATATTTCTGTGTACAGTTTATGGTCAATTTTTACCAAGACTGGGCCAAACTTATTATCATTTTGATGATTCCAGAAACTTGCAGTTCACACCAATGCGTATCTGCTGCATGATCAACTTTTTCTGATCGATTCCACATTACGTTCACAGTGCAAACGCATAAATAGAACTCAACTTGATCTTTAAAAAAACATTTATGCATTCAAGTTGAGTACATTACGAAAATGGCCTATTGATGTACTACATTCAAGGTACCAACATACCGAGATAGACTGTCGTGGTATCCCTGGTTAAAGAGAACAGTCCGCGAAAGCAGTGTGCTGCAGTCAGGACCCAGTTCTTCCGGATTAGAGAACCACCGCACAGAAGCTAAAGTAAATCATTCAAAATGTTGCAGTTTTGTCGGAACAAAGAGGCAATATTCCACACGATACAGAAAACGTTCATTAGTTGGGGTAATTATAACATGTACTTAAAGCTTCAACCACCGAATCTAGTCCATTAAGCTTGGCTACTAAATGTTCATGTTAATACTCCACATGTTTAAAGGTATAGTTGAGTTTTGTTGCAGAGGGTACTACACAATTTGTTTTGGTGAGATATTGAAAACCTGAGTGTCCAATTTGCAACAACATACAATTAAATGACAAAATCATCTTTGTTTGATCAAAATCCGTTCAGAGACGGCTGAAATATCCATAAATATGTTTGTAATATTTGTGGTGCCCCACAAATATTCGATAATTTGAACCAGCCGTTGAAAAAACGAAATAGCGCCTTATACGTTTTATTCCACCAAATGCCGATGTTGGATTCTTGTTGGCTTTTTCGTGTCGGTTATAATACGCACAACCAGCCGGCTCGTGTATTGATATTATCAAATAATCAATTAATTATGGTCACCCTATTTTTTCGAAAGTGGAGCTGAATAAGTATGATTGTATTGGCTAAATTTTTACACTTTTTGGGTTCTAAAATTACCTTCATGGCAATTTTAGGTCCTAAAAGAGCACTAGAAATGTCATAAATAAGAATAAGAGCAATAACCATGTACTTTGAAGGCATTTGCGGTCTGAATCAAGAACTCAACTATCCCTTTAAAAGGAGAAAGAAACACATTTAAAAAAAAAAAAAAATTAAACAGAAAAATTGGGCATGCTATTCATCTTTTCTAAAAATACGTTTTGAAAATAAGTCCATTTGTTCATTTTGTTTTCCACAACTACTATAATCAAAGTACAAATTTTGAAGTGTACTTTTAATGACTAACTTATACCCAGCCATAAGTGTTAATTGGTTTCTTAAAACTATCAGGATTTGTTCCTACATTCAACGACAAAATTAACTGAATAGAACATAATCTTTCATGATCATCCAAGTTAAAAGATTACACCTCTAATTACTCACGTCATTTGTTGCTGTATCATAAAGAGCTGCTTGCCATGGCCACGCCCCAGACTTAGCGTCCACCCCGCCCACAATTCGAGACCTCGCCACAATAGTATTTCCCGATTTGCCACATTCCTCGTAAGCTAATAGAGATATAAATAGTAAACTAAAATTATCATCATGAAGCTCAATTACGGTCTTGACATTGCCTTATAAGACCTATGATCATAAGATAAATGATTGATGGATTGATATCATATAACTCACTTGCTTGTTTTCTGTTTCAATTTTTCAGTAATTCGCTTAAACTCGTTACCATTACATTTTCTAGTCAATTGATTTGTTGTGAATGTACATGAGTTAAAAAAGAGGAAATGCATATATAGTGAAAGAACTAAGTTTGTTTTAAAAAAACGGCGTTAAGCGACATGAAGCTACTGATTAAACCCTACTCATATAGGTTTCCATATATTGTCTTGATTTTCACGAGGAAATGGGCAATGATGAAAGGGCATGGTTCTTGTTTTCTAAGGAGACCACCTTCCTTCTTACTATGAGCATGTCGGACAAAGAAAGAGGACGAAATATACAGTTCCTCAGGTAGACAAAGGAACATCTCTTCCTTGCTATTATGTAAAAATGTGTAGAACAGGTGTCACATGCATATTTACCTGTTCTACACATTTTTACATAATAGCAGTGAAGGGATGTTCTTTTGTCTACCACAGCAATTGTTGAGGGTAGAATGAGGAACTGTATATTTTGTCCTCTTTCTTTGTCCGTCATGTTCATAGTGTCTGTTACTCACATCTCTTTGTATTAGTGATGATGTCCACGGCCTCGTCAAGCTCGATATAATCCGAAAGATAAAAGACATGTTCGATGATGGGCCGAGAGGCGATTTCGGCAAGTGCTTTCTTATCCGTCTTCTGGCTAATTCCTATGCAGTGTATCTTGAAGCCTAAATCTTCCTTGAGCGTGAGAGCGTGTTCCGAAGGGGCGCCACCTACGTTACTAAAACCTTGAAGAAACGAACGACGTCAAGTAGAGCGTAAATCAAGCACAAGGCCAATTCAATTCAATTCCATTCAGTGCAATGCAATCGGAATTTATTATTGCACAACAATGTAAATATATTACGCTTAAAATGATCCTTTGCTCATTTCTGTAAATACAACAAAAGAACAACGCCAAGTATCTCAAGAAAACAATCAGATTATCGACATGGAATAGCGCCCTCCCCGTCCATCCTCATTCATTGCTACTTGTTTAACTATTGATAATACACCAGTTTACAGTTGTATCAGTGCGCATGAGCAGACAGTTGACCTCGGGTCATTGGCCCCGGAACAGGGCCAAATTGGCCCTGTTCCGGGGCCAATGACCTCTGACCTCTGGTATTTATGCGTAAATTAAGATTGCGCCCATGCAAATGATGATATGCGCGCACAACGCAGCGCGCAGGCAGTGATATCATCATAATTTGCATGGGCACAATCTTAATTTACGCATAAATACATGACCTCTAGGTCATTGGCCTTGTTTAAAATGGCGCACACAACTGTAAACTGGTGTACCAGTTTACAGTTGTGTGCGCCATTTTAATCGGCGAGTAAACAAAGCCAATGACCTAGAGGTCTGTGGTATTTATGCGTAAATTAAGATTGCGCCCATGCAAATTATGATAACATCACTGCCTGCGCGCTGCGCTGTGCGCTCACATCATAATTTGCATGTGCGCAATCTTAATTTACGCACAAACCAAATGACCTCTAGGTCATTGGCTTTGTTTACTCACCATTTAAAATGGCGCCCATGTCTGCGCATGCGCACTGATACAACTGTAAACTGGTGTATTGTCGGTTGATATGTCTGAAAACCGCATTTGTTTGTATTAAGAAATGAAAGAAATCGTATCGAATATAATGTTGTAGTCTTTCTAATATTTGTTCATCCATATACGATTTTGTTCACACTTTCAACAATCTGTTTCTCTCACCTTTGTTCGTCAAACACATCTTTCCAAATAGAATCTACTTAACTATCATTTTGATCTTTTTCTCTCTGTTTAAGACTCCCCCCCCCCCCCCCACCATGAACTTACCATCAGTGATGATGAAGAGAACTCTTCTGGTGTTGTCTGGTGTATCACCAAGAGTTTCAGCCACCATTTCTTTGATGTTGATCAGAGCAGCTGGTAAGTTAGTTCCATCGCCTTTAGGTTATAAAAGATTGAATCATTATTCAACACGGTGGCAAAGATTTTCGAGAAATCGAATTAAGAACAAATTGGGAGAAAGGAAAAACAAATGTTGTATTCCTACCAGCAAACAAGTTCGTATGATACGATAACATTAGCTACCGGAAGTTGACAATATTTAGAGGTCAAAGCCTTAACGCCAACTGATTTCCATTTCGGTGTTTAGGGCTGATGTGAGTGTTTATTAATCACTAACACCAGCCCTAAACACCCAACCTGAAATAGCTCAGTGTATCACTAATACTGTTCGCGCATTTCAAAAGGTGGCAGACAAGGATTTGTAATTAATTGCCTAAGTTTTTTTTCTATCATTATCATTAAGTATTGCCGTCACCTGTGACTGAGAGGCAAAACACGAACTGAACAACTGGAATCATCGGGGTTTGTCTGCGGCATAATTGATGGGGCCCGTAGCCAGAGTTTGATGTTCGGGGAGGGGGGGGGGGGCACATACATGTAATCGATCGACGTGCTGGGGAAGGGGTCTAAACAAATTTCAACCGATCTTTGAATTTTTTTGGGGGGCACGTGTCCCCGTCCCCCCCCCCCCCGTGGCTACGTGTCTGCAGGTACGTGGACCATCACACTGGGGTTTCCCACTACTAGTATACGAATAGTGCAGTGGGTTTGGTGACTCTCCTCTACACGGGGCATCCAGTTAACATCCTATCCGGTGTACGGAGTGTTTTCCACTGTGGCACAGTCTGCGTCGATGAAGAAGGAGAGGGGTTGGATTCGAACCCCTCGATCTTTGGTTCCACAGGCAGACTCTTTAGGGACTTAGCCAACTCGCCTCCTCGGCATATTTTTGCCTTTCTTTAATCCAAAATTGGAACTCTTAAAGTCAGGAAAATTTGAGAAAATCTTGATGGTATGTCGTCATACAAAACGACCAATTTGCCTGTTCATCCATTTCATCATCGAAATTGCATTTACCAAATTCATGATTTTCTTTAGTTCTGTCCTAATTTTGTAATATTTACTTCGGCCTAACCTATATCTTTGATATTTCTGTTCATACAGTTAACCAAGAATAACTTTCTGTGAATGGCTTGTTTCCATTTAATCATTATCGAAAGGTTTTACGATCTAAATTGTATGAAATTTTCTAAAATGATGGACTTCCAGTATATATTTCATTCATCAATTTTTTTTTAGTTTTATGCAGGACCATTCGGAATTTCAGACTGTGTTTTCCTTTAAGTTATACTCTTTTATTTTTAAAGCGATTCAGATACTGAAAAAAATCTGAAGTATTCAAATCGTCGTTTCGTCTTCATATCAGACTTACTTTTGTAATGTATGAGAGTATCGATGGCTGAAGTCACACCATCCGTGGATCTGTATTCGTTCACGTTGAAAGCCCGCATAGATTGAGACGAATAGTACAATGCTCCGACTCGGGTTCCGCCAGCCAAAATGTTCTCATCAAGCTGCGTTAGAAAATATATCAATTATTCTTCAATTAACCCTTTGCCTACTGGAACCGGGCGGTCTCTGTATTAAGCCTAGAGGAATAAGATAATCAAGTAGTCAACAGGTTAACCATCAACTTTACTCGAAACAGACTCCAACCGACCAATTCGTGGACACTGACAGCGATGTACGATTGGGGTTAGCTAATAATGCTATACTTCATAACAGGGGCGGATCCAGCCGGCGACGAGAGAGGGGGCCCAATTCATGATTTTTTTTTTTTTTTTTTTTTTTTTTTGGGGGGGGGGGGGGGGATATGGAACTCAATTTTTTCTTTACTCAACATCCCCTCCTCTTTTACGTATTTTTCTGGATCCGCCCCTGCCTCATTACACAACGCCAAAACTGACGCCAGACAGTCAACACACCGCACAAAAATGAAATTGCTATAACTGCCGCTTTACCCTCCTAATCGAGAGCGCGCTTCGCAATGTGCTTCACACGTATTTGGGTTAAAAGAACAATCAATTCCAAGTTCGAGTCAATAAAAACATGGTACCAAGGGTTTCGATTTGTATCCGTGGTTGGGGGGATGAAAGGTGCCAAAATATTTTCGACAATGGATCAAAGCAACCAAAGTGGTAGAAGCATGTGACAAGTTGCACCCCTCCGAAGCGCGTAGCCAGGATTTAATTTTAGGGGGGGGCGGTAGTAAGCACGCGAACCGCTGTTCCTAGGGGGTTGGGTGCAGGGAGGGGGAGTCCCCCCCCCCCGGCGCAAAGCGCCGAAGCTTTGAGGTATCACTAAATTATTAGAGAAAGAAGACGATTCGTTGGACCGTTCTCGACTCTTAATCCTTGTTTGAATCAAGTTCCCCTTCCCCCGCGCGTAGCCCGGAAGCTCTGACGTTTTATTAGATTATTAAAGAAAGAAGACGATTCGATGTACAATTCTCGACTCTTAATCCTTGTTTGAATCAAGTTCCCCTTCCCCCGCGCGTAGCGCGGAAGCTCTGACGTTTCATTAGATTATTAAAGAAAGGAGACGATTCGATGTACCATTCTCGACTCTTAATCCTCGTTTGAATCAAGTTCCCCTTCCCCCGCGCGTAGCGCGGAAGCTCTGACGTTTCAATAAAGAAAGAAGACGATTCGATGTACTATTCTCGACTCTTAATCCTTGTCTGAAGAAGACGATTCGTTGTACTGTTCTCTATATTAATCCTTGTCTGAATTCAGTTTCCCCACTGAAAATAAGTTGTGTCACAAATAAATTGTGACATAATAATCTTTCTCCAAAAATGAAAAATGTTTTAGGAAATATCAGGAAATAAAACGAGTGAAAAAATTAAAATAATGATACAATGACGTGAATTTTAAAAAGGGTGAACGGAAACAACATAACAACTAGTGAACTATTTTATAAGTCATACTAATGTCCGAAAATCTTTCTCCTTGTCTCCGATCTCATCACGAAATCGTCACAGAGTTCTTCTATGTTTACACTGTCCAGGATTGTCTGATGTGCATGCTACTTTTGTGCTTCGCGCTTAACATTTAGCTCGTTGCTTTTGATGCTGTGTCTTTGCATTTGGCGCACTGTATTTCTATGATGCTGTTGATTGAACACATTGAAAAAAATTCATCAATACCTGATGAAGCCGTATGAGCGAGAATTCAATTTATTCTTGTCTCATATACGGTTTTCTTATTTACTTCGTATATATGTATGTATTATGAAGATGAGATAGCAAAATGTGTATATTGATGGTCATCTTGCGAGTAATAACCATTAACTACTCTCATCGGACTCTCATCATTAATTTTTCTGGTGAATTATTGGGGGGAATGATTGTACAGGCCACCCTCCACCTGAAATATTGGAGGATTATCGCCCCATCCCCCCCCCCCCCCCGGGATCGACACCCATGCATGGTACAATCCTTTTTTCTTTAAGCCAATAATTACTTTGTCATCACGAATTAAATGAAACTCATGAAAAGCGCTATAATATAAGTAAAAGTTATTAGTTATTATTATAAAAAATGTTACGGTCTCATCTGTAAAGGGAACATTGTTCAGATGATTGATAGTGGTGCTTATGTAGCGACTTCAATGCTAGATGTACAATTAAAGATTATCTGAAAATTTGAGTGAAAACGGACTATTATTAATGATACAAATTGGGAAAAACTGATCTGATCGATTACTTAATTCTCCCAACTATATTGCATTTTAGGTTAATGTAAATCGTCACACAGCACTAAATTGGCTCTACATATCATTCCAGACATTTAAGTGTTGACAGATTTTCAATAGCCTGTTTTATGTCTTTTTTCATGGAAAATCGGTTTGGAAAATTCAAAAATGGTTGGGAGATTTTACTGTTAATCACTGTTAGAGGGTGTTGACCAGCGACACCTTCTCAGAAAACCATTAATATCTTTGTGGTTTGAGATTTTTTTCAGGATTTTTTGCATGTTAGAGGGCTAGTACAGTAGAAGGAAGATAGTAAGTAACATTTCATACAGAAATTATGCAATTTTTTTCATCAACTTTCAACTATGTTACCGAGTCACTTTAAAGTGGCTTTAACATCTTCTAATATATTCACATTTGCTTTTATTTCCGTCCTACCTTGTCCACTAGAAGCTTGGCAAATCGTTTGCCTTTCTCGAAGTTTTCAAGTCCAACGCTATTCGACGCATCAAACGCAAAGTAGATATCCAGGGCGGAAGAGTTTGATAGATCGATTGTACGCTTCCTTCGTCTACTACCGGAGTTTAAAGTGGTGTTATTGAAACCGACCCCAAAGCCCCCGTCGATGGCCATTTCGTCGAAGGCCTTTCCCAGGCCGCTCGTCACTCGAGCAAATTCGTCGAACTCATCACGACCTTGATGGGAAACAGTACATTTATATAATTAAAAAAGTATATATCGAGGGGTCAGTGACACAAAGACGTAATTCTATTTTGGCCATTTTGAGAAAAAGTGGTTTATGTGTCCCTGAGCACTTGGGAGTTAAGTCTATGCTTCACTAGCCAATGACTTCATTGGGGGTATTGGGTGGAGTTAAGTCTGTGTGTTTCCTGGAAAGCCCACATTTCTCTGAACATTTTAATATCAAGTACTCATTTTGGCAAAATATGGAGTTACGTCTTTGTGTCACTGAACCCTCGATATATTTTACAAGATAGGGCTGAATGGTGCATTTATCAGTATTATTCATCAACGTAAAAACTATTTCAAGTTCACCGGAGAGAATGGGGAGGGGAAGGGGGGGGGGGGGTATCCAGATATTGATGAGGGGAGGGTAAAACTTCCCTAACGCAAAAGAAGGCCAGATTGTAAGTATCCTTGATGTCTTTGTTAGAGACTCGCTGTGTTAGGGAGCTGTTAGTTTGATAGTCATCTGGTAGTGATTTTGACACCTTGAAATAGGAAATTTCCCTTATTCTAATACACTCGTACGTCATCAGAGAACCAGCCATAATCTCAACCAGTGGCGTAGCATGAGTACACCCATTTAGGGGGCTCTCCAATGATATGGGGGTGGGGGAAGGGGCGTCTCCGGTCTTACTTTTTTTTAACAAGGTTACAGGCTTAGGGGGTTGGGGTGTTTACTAGATGGGAGGTAATGGTGCGGGAGGTTGTCCGGGCGTCTTTTTATAATTGTCCTGTTCCTTTCCTGTCTTTTCCCGGTCTTTTTTCTTTTAATTTTACCCCTCAACAGAGGAGGGGACACGCCACGCCACTGATCTCAACATTCTTTAAGAACTTCGTCTCTCTTGTTCTTCTTACTCATGCATCTTGGCATCTCTCCAGTCCACTCCCCAGAAAACGTACACATCCTCTCTTCAGAACCAACCATCTCGTAACCACCGTTACATCGAAAACGGACATAGGTGTTCACTCTGTACTGCGGAATGGCGACTTTGGAGCCGTGTATGGGGTTCCCCAAGGCGGGACAGTAGTACTCTGTCATGATAATAAAATCAGTTAGTGGGCCTTAACATTATACCGCAGTCACATTGTTAAACTACTTCAAACCTACCGCAGACCGACCAGTTTTGGCCATTGACAGTAATATATATTTTGTTGTTGTCTGCATTTTTGTCGGTCTCGTTGGTGTGACTGAGGTATTACAGTTATAAGACAAAGTTACGAATCAAACAAAAATTTGATCCTAATTTTGAATCTTCTCTTTATCAACGCAATGTAGGCTTTAAGATACAATCGATTCCTTTGCAAAAAACCGAGCTAAATTCATCTAGATCAGATCTGTTCTGCACGAAATAGAGCATTATCATGAACGATCCTTAACACCCACTCCATCAATTTTATTCTTGGATGCGATCAGGTAAACGACTCAAGTCTGCAAAATGTAGAACAAATCGCTATCTGAAATCCTTTAATTATTCCCTGTTCAATAAGGGCTTACACCGACCCACATTAAAGATAAAGATGAGTTCTGGTAAAAAAAGAAAATAACTGAAATTCTCAAAGAATCAAACGAAACTTACACTGAATGTTCAAGATTACAAATAAATGTCATTTGCCAAACAATTTTGGTAAAAAATGTATACTGGCTGAGTAATGAGCATAGAAAGATTAGGAAATCAAGGTTAGTAGCCCCGACACCATTTGTGTAGTCCCAAATACAACAAGTTTCTGTGTACAGTGCTTGTTACTTTACCAAGACTGGGCCAAATTGATTATGATTTTGATGACTCCAGAACATTGCAGTACACACCAATATATGATAATGATTATGATGACTCCAGAACTTTGCAGTACACACCAATACTTACATGATCCATTCCACACCTTTTCTTTCACAGTGCAATCGGATGACCAGAACTCACCTTTATCTTTAAATACGTTAATAATTGTTGATAAGAGTGTAATGATTGTCCAAATGTAAATGCTCATATTTTGTACAAGTCCTGTCATGCCAATCGACACTGCAAACTAATGCGAAAAGGGTGATCTTGATAATTAACCATTTATAAAGCTAGACTAACGTTTCCCCTCACAAGCTACCTGCTTGATTCAACAGTCTCTGATTTTCAGTTGGTCTCTCTCTTTCTCAGACCCCTGTTCCAGGAGATGCAACCACACATGATTGAACTTTCTACAACAGCCGAGTAAAAGAGTTTCAGATATGAATTTTCGACATGGAAAGACTTAAAGCCCGTCTGCACTAATTTATCCAGGGGAATTAGACCTCCGTGCAAGGTCACTGACAGGTGGTTACCTCATCAAATAAGCTCTCAATTAACATAAGAAAAAGAGGATCATGGGGGACCACTTCAGGCACCGATTAGGCATTGTTTGCTATATAGAGGGCGCAAGTAGCTATTAGTAGTTCAGTGGGTTTTAAGCTTCCTCAAGAGGTGGAGACTAAAATTATGATGGACATCTTTACTTTGTTCGTCCCAACTTAATTTGTTGCCGATCAGAATGCCGAGATACTTATCAGAGACCTTTAAATTGTTTTAAAGGGATCCGGTAACTTTGTGTCAGATTCTGAAACAAAATCCTGGATTTAGCTCATGCTGCAATGATAATTATAAACGTTTAGGTCAGTCAGGAACCCCATGAATTTTACAAGCCGATCGCCTGTCTGATTATCAAGGTATTTATGATTGGACTTACAAATTCTGAAAACCGTTTACCAAACGGTTTTCATAACACTACAGTCTATTAGGGGAAAAGGAGTATTGTAAAACCGGTCACTCAAAGATGTTTACTTTTTTGAGGCACTTATTGATCATTTTAAAGCGCGATTTTTTAGGGCTTCAATATTACACCATATCACAGACACTGATAACACGTAGGACCGTGCATCTCATATTTAACATTGCTAAACGATGCCTTTAACCCGTTGACTACTGAATTATCATATTCCCATAGACTTAACACAGGGAGCACCAGGTTCCAGTAAGCAATGGGTTGATTAAAACATAGAATTGAATCATCACTTTGAAGTTGATTTCACTATGATTTGGAGTGGAATAAATCTGAAAGGAAGTAACAAAGGAAATAATCCCTACGCAAATGACTCCTGGAAAAAAGAGAATTTCCGGTAACAGAGTAAAAATAACATTATCGCAAAGACTATACAAAAAACATAAAGGTAATGCAATTTCAATGGCCTTGTCACCTATTCAACTGGATGACATGACAATGACGTATCACGTAATCCCAACATGATGTCTATTGGTTATACAATGTGGTATTATGTAGTTACCAATGAGTTGATTTGATTTGTTCATAGTTCAAGTTTTTATTTCCACATCTGATTTAAAAAAACACAAGTACACCTTATATGCATATAATTATAGATTAACGTTAAAATGAAACATCTTCAATTTAAACCATAATGTAGTGGGGAAAAAACAAAGGCTAATAGCCTATCAAGAATATTCCCAGAGATAATAACATTTACATAAAAAGTTTCTTAAATGTACTAAAACGAGATAGAAATACAGAGATTAAAATAACACAAAGCAACATTATACAGAATTTAAACCAGACAAATGCATTACAACAAAAGAAAAGAAAAGGAAAGGCATTTATGTAAAAAAAAAAAAAAAAAAATCCTAGTTATACACATTCATTTAAGAGATCTTTCTTGAGCTTTCTTTTGAAAATTGATACTGTTGGGCATTTTGTTCCATAATTTTGGTCCGGCATCAATAATTGTTGTGTAAATAGTAACAAATGACAAGCGCCGAAAGAAAAGTCAAACCGTCAGCAACATCAGCAAGCAATCCGTGCTTTTCACACCCACAACAAATACATCGGTTTAATTACCTTCACTGTGGCATGACGTCAGAGTACCATTCCAGTGACCATCAGGTTGACACACCCTCTCACTTGACCCCAGCAGCTCTAGATGTGACCGACACCTGAGGGTCATCACCGTTCCTACGGGCCAAGAATTCGTGGCGCCTTGTCCGTTTCTCGGCGAGAAAGAAATCTCGTCGTTGTCAAGGTGACGGGAACCCGGATGGGGACACCTGGCGACTACATCATAATTTGAAGAAAACAAGAAGAAGAGTTAATTCTTACACCTCAATAGGACTCCATACTGATCCCAAACAAAACGATCGATTGGCAATTAATGTATTAATACTATTATTTTGTTCGATCTTTTGTTGATGATGTGCCAGTCTCGTGGATGTGACTGAGGTTTTACTATTAAAAGAATAGTGGAGGCTCATTCACAGATCAAACTAAAATATAAGGAGTAATGTACGTAAAAGAAATTAATTCTCATTATCAATAAGAGTATCACAAACCTTTGCAGGTTGGTACGTTATCGGACCATATTCCATTGGGTCCACCGTGACTCTGACATACTTGCCAGCTTATTCCATCGACGAGATACCCTTCGTTACATTCATATTGGACCATCTGTGGATAAAGATGGAAAATACTCATTGAAATTGAACTTCTTTTTATTGCAACAACAACACAAAAAACAACAACATCGAAGCACATATAATGAAATAATGAAGGTATGGACGCAAATATGTGGGGAAAAAAAAAATCATTTTCAAGTGATGTTGCAAATCTGATTAACCACTCAATAAAATGCGATAAAACAACCGAATCATTGATCAACTAACTTATTAAGAATAAATTCGGATTAAAAATTATATTCTTGTGAACCCAAAATCCTGATGAACTACTCGATAATCCGGTTTTAACTAGTCAATCAACTGATTAACAAATTAATCAACCGATTAATTAGTGAATAAATATCTAATTAATGTGTCAAGGGATTGTCAACGAATCAAGGGCGAGATGCTTATTGACAAAACTACTGTTTAAATCAAGCATGTAACCCTCAAAGCATTCCCCCAATGAATCGTACAAACCTAATCAAACAATTATAATAACATTTATTAAAAAAATCATCAATCAGCCAAAAAAAGAATTGACAGTCAGAGTATCAAGCGATCAACCAACTGAACATCAAGTCAGTGAACGCATCAGATAAATATATAAATGTAATATTAACGGATCCACAATCCATTAAGAAATGCTCAAGTATTTTGTTGTTGACATTAATAAGTTTGATTTCTTTTGTTCCCCAAATAATGAGAGACATCTAACGACTTACTTCTCCAACATGGTAGGTCCTGTTCTCAATATTGTGTGTACCATTCTCTATGGGCTCCAGGATGGGTGGGGCACAGATGATCCCTGCAATATTCAAGTTCAAGTGCAATTTTATTTCCACTTGAAAAACATTTACAAATCATTAACATAATTAATTAATTAATTAATAATTATAAACGTACCAACATGCGACTCATTGATTGAGAGTTACAGGTCTATACATGTACTGGGTCCGTAGGAAAGAGAGTGGCTCCCGCACCAACCCCCTTTTTTAGAATTAATATACATCATTTAACGTTTTTGTTTTGCCGTTTTGCCTAATTAATCAAACAACACATTAGAATTGGTGAGTGATTTTTTTTTTAAACCTCTCCTTTTGAAATGATTTAAACATCAACTCACACGATACCTCACAGGTGGTATGGTAATTTATTGCCACTGATTTAAACCAGTAGGGGGGGGGGGTGGCTCCATTGGTTGATTGATTGATTCTTATTCGACAAGCTTCCAACCTACACCAATATACAATACTAACAGATCAAAATTAAGTCAGCTTGGACAGGAGAAAGATTAAAAGGATGAAAAATAATAATGAACCCTTATGCAAGTTACACTTTACCAACAAAAGAAGAAGGGGAAGATGCATCCCTTTATTTTACGTCCGTAACAAATTAAACATTTGATATGATTCCAATCTCATTTCAATTTGTCAAAAAGGACGGGGATGCAGAGGTGCCCCTACGGTGTATGAATTCACCCGACCTATTTTTTTCGACGCCCCTCCATCTGCCCATCCGCTACCCGCGTTTTGCAAAATACAGAGCCCCCCCCCCCCAGACAGATTTCAATCAATTTAGTTCAACTCGTTAATATTATATTATGTACAAGAAAATGAACACTGAACCTTACTGTTGCATTCTGGGACATCCGCATCCGCTTCCCAGGTGCCATTCTGACACGTGATTGTGACGTCCCCGGTTGGATGGTATCCTGTTTGGCAGGTATAGTTGAACACTGTGCGTTCGGTGTAGAGATCACCGTGTTTGATTCCAGAGTTTTCAACAAGAACCAAGGCTAGCATCCCGGATGGTTCGTTTGGGTCAGGGCATGATGGAGGTCCTAGAAATTTCAAGAACAAAATTTAGACGATATTTTTCGAATATTAGTGAAATAATGACGGGCAAAATAGCAAGATGCTTTAATGATGACAAATTACCCTCGTTTTTTTGCAAACAGTGATATATCTACATTCATTTTCTCTTTACCAACTGCCCAATATTTAAAATATTTCATACAGTATTGAGTTTAGAAAATATTGCAGAAACGAAGGGAGCAAAACCCCGAAAGGAGGAGCTCAATTGGGAACACCATATGGACAATTCAAGTAAGGCTTACGTTGAATAAACATTGTTATATGAATATGTTTTGTACAAGTCAAAGCAAAGAATTCGAGAATTTAGAAGGAGATTCAATTCACGAGGAAAAAGTATAGGAGAAAATTGACATGCACAGACCAATGATGCTATTTAAACGGATATCACAGGCCATATTGTTAAAAGCTTATTCTCTAGAGTATATGAGTTAGGCCAGCGCATGGTAACAGAGAAATTTATAAACTTGAGTCAACTTCAAATGTGCAGATTTAATCAATTTCCAATCAGCGATAATATTGATTATCGAAAAACAGATAACATTTAAACGTTTATATAGTTACGTTTAATAGAAACTTACTGAAACATCGAGGTACATCTCCCTGCCAACTACCCGTAGTCTCGTTGCAGACCACCGTTCTTTGTCCATGGAGCTCGAAACCAGGGTTACAGCGATACACAGCAATGCTTCTTGCAGATTTACCACGCATGCGCATATACCCGTTGACAGGGCTCTCGGGAGGACGAAAACATACTAGCGGAGCTGGAATAACAGAGATATTATATATAAATTAAAATTAAATTTAAATGAACAGCTGCAACATAAAAATCTTATGTCACAAGGTTTTAAACGACCGTGTCTTATTAAAATCAAATTGATATGAAACAATTAAAACGTACGAATCGTATGTTACATGGTTGTAAGCTTTTGTTATCAAAATTAAATTGATATGAAACAATTAAAGCATACAATATTCTTAATCAAATATTGAAATTCATTCGTAAGTAACTTTACCAAAATTTTGAAAAGAACAAGAAAAACCTTAAAATATTAATGACTATAAATAACTTACAGGATAGACGAAAGAAAAAATGGTTTCCCATCTTATTTTATGCCAGAAACACTAAACTGACAAATGATCAACTTGCTAATTTATTTCTCCAATAGGGGCCTATTGCTTATATCCTCACGTCACTATGTCTTACTCGAACATTCCATTCAGGATTGTTGCAGCAATTTCATCCTTTTTTCTCAAACAAGAGAAGAAGAAATTGTTGACATAGTACGTTATATAAAAATGATTAACAGTTGTGGTTTTGAAGAAATTATCTATCATATATCTTCTCTTCTTTCATATATTTTTTAAATTTTCTGTAAATACAGGGAATCTCACTAATAAATTTGAAATTAGGAAATTATTCCAGTACTTAAAAAAGATGACCGTCAATCATTTTCTTACTATCGACCAATTCCACAACTTCATTTGCGTTTCTAAAATACTTGAAAGAATCATTTATAGCGGATTTATTTCCCATTAAATAACATTTATCTGTTAAGTAACTCTCAATATGGCTTCAGATGTAATCACTCTGACTCATGACTCTGCTCGTATTACATGACAGATTTACTAATAAGATTAATCACAAACTTCACTCTGTTGGAATATCTCTTGATCTTTCTAAAGCGTTCGATTTAGTTAACCATGAAATCATTTTGTCCAAACTCCCAGACTTTGGAATACCTGAAATTTGTCTTAATTAGTTTAAAGAATACCTATGTGATCGGTTCCAATACACTTCATGTAACATATACAATTCTCCTTTAAAATAAAGTCAATTCTCATTTTGTTATATTTCAATGATTTATGCACTGTCTCATCATTTCTTGATGTTTTGTTATTTTTGCAGAAGATACTACATTGATGTATTTACATAGTAACTTAAATCAGTTGATTTCTTTTGCAAATATTTTAACTGTGTATTGATATCAGATTTGTTCACAATGCAATGCAATAATAGTAAACTACTCAAAATGCAATGTGTGATGTTATCAAGTTAGAAATTAATGATATTCAACTTATTACTTCTACTTCCACAATATTCCTTTGCGTTTTACTGGATACCGTACTGAACATTGTCAAAGCAGATCTAAGAATGTTTATATATTGTTCAAACTAAGCTACATTCTATCTGAAAGGCATTTGGTTGTGTTGTGTGACTCGTTAATTCTCCCATATTATTGCAATATTTGATGAGTTAGTTCATGAAATTCTAAACCTGAACCCATTCATAAGTTACAAAAAAAAAAACTTTGAATTTGTTTCTCATCTTCCTTCCTGTCTTCATCAAATCCAATTTTTAACAATCTAAAGACTTTTAATTTAGTAAGACATACACGAATGTCAAATTGCTGTATTTATGTTTAAGATAAAAGAAAATACAGTTCCAACCAAAATTGCAATTTCTTGTTTTGTTAATGTGAATATAAGATAAATTTACATAATTATGATACTTGATCTGGTTGCAAATTACATTTGAAAAAAGCTTATTCCACCAATTTGTTACAATCCTTCAGGCGCCAAGGTCCTCGAATTTGGAATTAACTTGAGAAAGTAATTAAATCTGCTACAACTTTGAATACGTTCAAAGACAAGTAAGGAAAATATCTTCTTGTCAAAAGAATAAAGTGTCGAAGTCAATTGATATAAAATGATCATCCCATTTATGTACTTCCACTTTTCTGTCGTTTAAACTTTTGTCTGAATTCCCCACCCCTCTCTCTCTCTCTCTCAACCGCGAAATCATTCAAGCAACGTCCTGGAGCAGGGCAAATTCAGCGATTGGGGCTGGTGTGATCATATCACCACATCATAGTTTAGTACGAAATTGTTTGGAACCTGCAACCTTGACAACTTGGCCACTATGACGTCATACTTAGGTACTAAATAGGCGTAAGCATTGAAATCATCCATAGAATAAACAGTGGGGCCACAACACAACATAAGGAAACAATACTTCCGTTTTGGCTGGTCAAACTTCCTGATTTTCCCGGATTTTAATTTGAGTTTTTTTCCCCTCCTAAATCCCTTGACTTTCACTGACTGAAAACAAAAAGGAGAACTATTTTTCCGAGATAATTGTGAACCCTGTGAAACAATCGAACCTATGCATATATTCCAGGGATAAATGTATGTTAGAAATAAATCTTCAGTTTGTAACTCTACGACGTTTCGAGGGAAAGATGTGGGTATGGACATAAAAGGGCAACGTTTTAGCACCCTTGATGATAAGGGTTGACAATGAAAGGGTTGACATATCAAGCATCCAGAGAGTTGGTATAAATTCAAGAGGAAAGCCCTCAGTGGTGCTCCGTGCTATTGTACATGATCAGCTGGAATTTAGAACAAGTCTTCATTTCTTAGTATGTTTATGATATGCCTATACATTTAAAGGCACACTGTCCTACTTGTAGCTACTTGCTCCCTCTATATAGAAAACTTCCCCAATCGGTGCCTGTTGGTCCCCCATGATCCTCTTTTTCTTATGTTAAATGAGAGCTGAGTTAATGAGATAGCCACCTGTCACAGTGGCCTCGCTGGCTCTCTGGGTGGTCTAATCCCTTCTAGCTGAAGTAGTAAAGCCTGCCTTTAAAGCTAACTCAGTAATATTATCTTGGATTAAATTGAATTACCGTGGCAATATGGGTAGTCACTCCACTTTCCGTTGTCCTGGCAGATAATGAACTCATCTCCTACAAGCGTTGCGTTAGGCTCACACTCTGCGCGCACGATGTAATTCACAGGGAGATGCGTCAATCCATAGTCTGTACTGTTCTGATATTCGTAACGTCCTTTCCGTAAACTCCTCGGTCGACGACAGCTAGTACCCTCTGAAAGAATGCCAAATACAATGTATGATTACTGGAAAAGAAGCATGCGGACATATTAAATAACATAATAAGGAAGTTGATATTCGATCCATGGTTTCCCTTATTCTACACAATTTTTGGGGGGGAATAAAGTAGGCCTACTTCCAATGAACATCAAACTTGTCCAAAGCGGCGACATCGCCATCTTAAGATTCACATTCTGACCGGCGAAGATGAAATATTGAGCCATTATCATTTTATAAGAATAGTTTGTTCTTCCGCTCAAATCTAGCCATTGTATTGTCATATGTGTCACTGTTAAACAAATCAGTTGTGCACTTGCTACCAGGTTATTTGTTGATGCCCGTTGTCAACCTTTTTACTCTAAGTTCCCCTTTTTTTCTTTTATTTCCCCCTTTCTTCGTCTATTATTCTCTTTCTTTGTGGTGTTTTGTTCTAAGGCGTATCCAACACAAGCCTATGTTTTTAGGATATATACCGTCTCCCTTTCGTTAAAATTATTTGTCGTCTTAAGAATGGTTATGTTACCATGCATGTAGAAATGTATTACTTGAGTATTACGAGTTGATATGAAAAACAGAAATGGAAGAAAATAAATGTTACTTTGAATTGAATGGAATTGAATTGATGGTTCAGTGGTAGAGCAGTGGTCTCGTAACCGGAAGGTCTCTGGTTCGAAACTAATAAGTCGATGCGCTATAGTGCCCTTTAGTTAGGCATTAATCCTCATTACCAAGTCCCTTGGAGAGGACTCAAGGCCGTCAATCCCCTGGCTACTTACTTACAAGCATACACACTGTCTTAGCAGTCAGGTAAAACACACAATACTGATAAACACTGTTCGACCATAATTATGTAACACTGTCTCACCCAACTATGCCTCGCCGTCAAATTAAACAAACAGGGACTTTTAGAATTGCACAACGACATCGTGGATTGCTACGGTCGACGTCCTTTTAATGCATTGCCTTGAATTGGACGTCACACGTATCAGTCCACGCAAATCTAAAAGTCCCTAATATCCCAATCAAATCGACGGGAACAAGCACCCGACCGACTATAGCCCGAACCACCCCGAATAACAAAGAATCATTCGGGTTGGAGTCGGGTTGTAGTCGGTTTGGAGTCGGTTTTGGAGGTTTGTGGCTGGGTTCTAATTAATAACTCTCACCTGCAGAGGAGCAGAGGATTCCCAAGATGGCGGCTACGATGATCGCCAAGAACGTCATGTCACCAATCAGCGGATCTCCTTCTCAGCTAAACAAACTCCAGCTGTACAATACACGAAATCAACAAACGAAATTTAGAACGAAATCAATCGCATACAAATCTGGCAATGAAAACGGGGATGATGCACTAGTTCGGGTGGGTGAACATGGAGTGGGCAAGTTGGCTTCCAAAGCCGGGCTGAAAGATCAAATTTGAAAGCTGGTAAAAGCTTCTTCCGAGAAATTAAGGTCAGGAAGTTTAATTGATGTTCAAACTTCAAAGAAAGACCTTTTATATCCATGATGAAATATGACGAAGGGAAATTAGAAAAACATTTGGTATATTTTGTCCTTGAGTTGCGAATACGAATGCGATCATTGCAGTACGTGACGATATCGCTTAGTTTAATGGCTATAGTCATTCCGGTGATAGATTTGGATAAAATTATTCTCAAATCATAGACTGATGGGTAAACAAAAAGAAGGAAGAAGACCAAAAAAGAGAAATGAGATAAATGTATCCCGTTTGTTAGCCAAATCCCTCAAATGCAACGCATGTTTAGATATAATTGAATAGATATTATACAACATGTACAAAGTCACCTTTTCTCCAGATTTTATATTCTCAGTTTATCATCACCAGGTTCATGAGTGGTTATACCAATCATTATGGACACTACCATGTCGTTTGTAAAAGTAATAATAGTCTAATAATAATAAGTTGGTTTCATTTACCCAGAGTAGCCACATCAGTATTGATGCCGCTTTTTCCTGGATGTCCTGTGGCCCATGCCATTAGTATTACCCCCACATTAAAGGGTAAAAATAACATAAAATATATGATATAATGTACATCAAAAAGTCTAAAGATATGTGATGTATACAGTATTACAGATCAACAAAATTCAACATGAATTTGTAATTTAGTGACCCTTTAATTGTCAGGTGCCCATTTACACCCGTTTGGAGTAGCCAAGAACGTGGGCCAAAACACCTTGTCTAGGATGTAAGCACCGAACAAGGATCGAACGACGGACCTCTCGTGTGAGAGTAAAGAGCCTTCACCGATATGACGTAGAACTTGAAACCTCCCCTATACCTCCCCCCCCCCCCCCAGGGCAATGTTATTCCGTATCCTCAAATAATAGCTACAATCTGTTAAAAGCTATAATACCTATAACAGAATTTAAACGGAAAGCGGGGTCAAGCCAAGAGCAGAGATCAATAACATCCTGAGTATCCTGGTTTCTTTCCTGTTAAACTCGTAAACGTGCAGATTGATCTTTTAAACTTTCACGAATGCACAAACAATATAAGGGAATTTCCCGAATGTTTTGGAAAAGTTTCATTTGCGGGGTTTCTTCCGTTGACCTCTGCATGTTCGTGATATGAAGACAAAAACGAGGCGGTTCAAGGGATTTAAAATGGGGGATGGTAACATTCCGAATAACACCTTATGATCTTCTCATTTTAGCTTCTGATAACGAATGTATGGCCCTCCCTCATCATGAATGTTCTGATCCAGCTGAAACTTGACCTAGACCGAGCAATTTTCATGAGTTTTTAAAGAAGTAGTTGAGATCTGTTACTGCAATTTCTACGAGAACGAAACCGTCTCGGAGCAATGGCGAAAGGTTGATTATGTATACTGTTAAGTTTTGGAATCATGACAAGAAATTGACTATGCCGCCTCGCTGAAAAACACATGCGCCAAGAACTGAAATGGGTGTATGGGACTACTCAAAGATATGGCAAAATAGTTTGGTCCAAACATTTAAATCAGCAGTTTCTCGTCATGTTTTGAGCACAATCCCTCTCATTTTTCCCCTCCCCCTTTTCTCCTTTTTACCGACAGCAACGCAATTGTACCGACAATATCCTGACAGGTAAGGGGGGGGGGTGGTCGCATTCCCACTACCCAACTTTCAGCGACGCCCCTTGTTGTTATCCCATTATTCTTTTAACAGAAATGCAATTCCTCATGCTCTCGCACCTCTCTTCTATCGTTGTTTAATTCTCTTTAATTTTTTCCTTTCTCTCTTTCCCCCATTTTCCATGTCCTTTTTGTAGTTGTTGTTGTTTTTGTTTTTGTTTTGTTTTGTTTGTTTGTTTGTTTTGTTTTGTTTTGTTTTTGTTTTTTTTTTTTTTTTTGGGGGGGGGGGCTATACGCCTGGCAAGAAGGACCCTCTATTATGCACACTGCAAAAGTGCGTGGCTCCCGCCCCCTTCTCGGTAAAAAAACACCTTCTTATAATATCATTCCCCTTTCTTTTTCCCCCTTCTCATTATTCTCCTCTTCCCCCTTTTCTCTTCTCCGTCTCTTCCCCTTTCTTCCTATTCCGCTTGTCTCCCCTCTCTCCCTCTTCCCCTTTCTTCCTTTACCCCTCCCTTTTCACCTCTTCCCTTTTCTCTCCTCCCTCTTTTCTTCTTTTTTCTCTCTTCCCTTTTCTTTCTTTTTCCCCTCCTTTTTTCTATCCCCCTCCTTTTTCTCCTTTTCTCCCTTTTTCTTTTTTCCCTTCCCCTTCCCCCTTTTTACCGGGGGGGGGGGGGCGGCACGTGCCCCCCCCTCGAATCCGCCACTGGTATAGTTGTGTTATGTAAAGTTGTATGATAGTGGCATGCCTGGCCCGCCATATTTACCTTGACCACCTCTCGCCCCCCCCCCCCCAACTCAGTGTTAAAGGGGAAGTCCACCCTGAAATTAAGTTAGTTTTAATAGGAGTAGAAAAATGAGAGAAACAAGTCAGTGAAAATTTGAGCAAATTCCGATTAAAAATAAGGAAGTTAGGATTTTTTAAGTTGTGATCAATCAAACACAAATTGGCAACTCTATGACGTATCATGCGAGCAACTTCCATTTGCTCAGTACTAAAAAAATCTAAAATTTTCATTTTCCCTCAAGAAAAATTTCAACCATACATGCACCCTAAATATAGTAATTGCAAATATGTTTCTATACTCCCCCTGCAAGGAACAAATATATATTCCGTCATCAATAACGAAGAAAACATGATTTTATGGAATATTATGCACAAAGCAAATGAAGGAGAGCTCGTATAATAAGTCACAGAGTTGCCAATTTGTATTTGATTGATCACAACTTCAATAATTCATAACTTTCTTATTTTCATTCAGAATTTGCTCAAACTTTCACTCACCTGATTTTCTTATTATTCTGCCTCTATCGAAACAAACTTATTTTGGGGGTGGACTTTCCCTTTAATTAGGGTACGCATATGCGTGTTCCCAGCACCCCACCCCGCCCTTTTCAGCATAAGTCCGGTGTGTAAAGTCAATATACGAGGAGACCTTTTTCTTTTGTTAAACGAGCCTTTCAGCACCCCCCTTCTGCATAAGTCCGGTGTTTAAAGTCAATACGGGTAAACCTTTACGAACCGGAGATTTTGAGAACACACATGCGGTCCCTCCGTTTCCGGGGTGAGGGGGGGGGGGGGGGGTGGGCGGGAACCATCTCTTTAAGATAAAGACAACTCCTGGTCATACGATTGCATTGTGAAAGAAACGTTGTGGAATCGGTCAGAAAAGGTTGATCATCTAGCTTATAAATATTGATGTGTACTGCAAGGTTCTGGAATCATCAAAATGATAAGAAATTTGGCCCAGTCTTGGTAAAGTTACAAGCACTATACACAAAAAGATGTATATGGGACTACGCGACACGTGCGCGATATCTATCCGGTCCAGATAGATATAATAATTTACCAAATATAGCAATTAGTATAGGCGGTTTCCCGGCAAAATGTGTATCATCACATATTAGTCAAAACATATTCTTTCACATGATTGAGATTCCATTATCATATTTTGAGAGGGGGGCGTTTCCAAAACTGGTCTTTACCTTTAACGCGACCTTTACCCTAGGGTAACTTTTCTCTGTCTGAACAAGACTAGTATTGAACTGTAGGACCTCTCGTATAATAGTCAAGTGCCCTCACCATAATATACCACGGTACTGAACACTGTCTGAGTTAAGTTTTTCATTACAGTGTTCTCTGGATCGCTCTAAGTATGTAACAATTAAACGAGTGTACAATTAAGTGGCTTATTTTTTCCTGAATTAATAGCGGAAACATCTGGAATTTTCACGCGGAAATCCGTGTAACTAACACCCACTGAGGAAAATGTTGAGAAAAAAATAGAAATCACTTTCCAGTGTAATTGTGGTTGAAATGAAATATCCTTAGACGGGCTTTGTTTTGAACTAAGAAGTAATAAGTTTAAAATGGAGTTAATTGGTTGCAATGAATGATAACCTGAGCGCCTGTGTGATTCCTCCGAGTTCAAAATCCTGCAACAAACATCCAGGTCTTTGAAAGTGAAAAATCCCTACTTTTCACCTGAAATCGTTTGAAGATATCGGAGATCACCTGAACAGCAATGTGGCTGCTAAAAGAGTGTAATGATTCACCCCGTCCTCATTTGGTGAAGGGTCATGACACATCGGCATTGCAAACAATTGCAAAAAGGTTGGTCGACTGGACTTTGTTTCTGATCTCATCCAATTTCCATAAAATCATGAACTAAAAATAAACGTTTATTGATCTTCGGTTAAAAGTCCATTAATCAACAATTTTTCAAGACCATTATTGGGTGCGGCTATTGGAGAAGAGTTCTGGTCATTCGATTACATTGTGATAGAGAAGGTGTGGAAAGGAACAGACACAATGAATATGACGGACAAAGAAAGAGGACAAAATGTACAGTTCCTCAGGTAGACAAAGGAACATCCCTTAACTGGTATTATGTAAAAATGTGTAGAACAGGTGTCACATGCAGATCACCTGTTCTACACATTGTATTGGTTTGTACTGCAAAGTTATGGAGTCATCAAATCATAATAAATTTGGCCCAGTCTTGGTAAAGTAATAAATACTGTACACAGAAAGATGTTTATGGGACTACACAAATGGTGTCGGGGCTACTAACCTTGATTTCCTAATCTTTCAATGCTATTACTCAGCCAGTATACATTTTCAAAAAAAATTGTTCGGCAAATTACATTTATTTGTAATCTTAAAAATTCAGTGTAAGTTTCGTTTGATTCTGTGAGAATTCATTTTCTCCTTTTTTACCAGAACTCACCTTTATCTTTAAAACTGAAGATTTCACTATAGTTGAGTAGGAAGATGTTTCTATATACCCCTACTATAGTTACGACATGAATCGCCCACTCTCTACCAAAGTTAAAAAAAACAAAGAACCAATCTCTACTTCTTGGAATTGTTCCAAGTAAAGGAGAAAAATACGAAAAGGAGAAAATGTTGTTCTTTCACATTTGTTGAGAATACCTCGCTGCACCTCAAGCTACAGGAGGATAGGGGCACGTACCCACACAAAAAGAGAAAGAATTAAAGAAAAGTATGTGAAACTTGTAAAGAAAATTATATGATCCACTCCCAGACCCCAAATTAACTCTTATGTCACGTTCTCTTGTATTTTACACACATAGTTAGACCAATGTCCCCCCACATCATTGGGCACGTGCCTCATATATATGAATGGCAAAAGCCCCCGCCCCCCCCCCATTGCATTGTAAAAGAAAAGGTGTGGAAAGGAACGGAACTTTTTGATCATGTAGCATGTAAGTATTGGTGTGTACTGCAAAGTTATAGAGTCAACAAAATCATAATAAATTTGGCCCAGTCTTGGTAAAGTAACAAATACTGTACACAGAAAGATGTATATGGGACTACACAAATGGTGTTGGGGCTACTTACCTTGATTTCCTAATCTTTCAATGCTATTACTCAGCCAGTATACATTTTCTACAAAAATTGTTTGGCAAATGACATTTATTTATAATCATAAACATTCAGTGTAAGTTTCGTTTAATTCTGTGAGAATTCATTTTCTCCATTTTTTACCAGAACTCACCTTTATCTTTAAAACTAAAGATTTCACTATAGTTGAGTAGGGAGATGTTTCTATATACCCCCGTTATAGTTACGACCAGGCGCGTACGCAGGGGGGGGGGGGGGGTTTGGGGGGTTAAACCCCGCCCCTTTGGAAATTTTTTGTGTGTAAACCCCCCTAAAAAAACCTAAAACCCCCCCCCCCCCCCCCTTTTTTGGATTTTTTTTTTTTTTTTTTTTTTTTTTTTTTTTAATTATTAAAAAAAAAAAAAAAAAAAAAAATTATTCCCATGGCCGACCTAAAAAAGGTGACCTTACCCCCCCCCAACGGAGCAAAATGTCAAATTTCCAAATTTCGAGACCAAAAAAAAAAAAAAAAGTGTCCTCTTACCCCCCCCCCCCCCCCCCCCCCCCCGCTTATTCAGCGGCTGGCTGAGTCGTTGCGAAATTTTCGGACCGATTTATAAATGTTAAAACCCCCCCCCCCCCCCCCCCCCTTGAAAAAATCCTGCGTACGCGCCTGGTTACGACATGAATCGCCCACTCTCTACCAAGGTTTAAAAAAACAAAGAACCAATCTCTACTTCTTGGAATTGTTCCAAGTAAAGGAGAAAAATACGAAAAGGAGGAAATGTTGTTCTTTCACATTTGTTGAGATAACCTCGCTGCACCTTAAGCTACCAGTGGGTAGGGGCACTTACCCACCAAAAAAGAGAGAAAGAATTAAAGAAAAGTATGTGAAACTTGTAAAGATAATGATCCACTCCCAGACCCCACATTTACTCTAATGTCACGTTCTCTTGTATTTTACACACATAGTTAGACCAATGTCCCCCCCCCCCCACATCATTGGGCACGTGCCTCATATATGAATGGCAAAAGCCCCCCCCCCCCCCGCCCCCCCCCCCCCATTGCATTGTAAAAGAAAAGGTGTGGAAAGGAACGGAACTTTTTGATCATGTAGCATGTTAGTATTGGTGTGTACTGCAAAGTTATAGAGTCAACAAAATCATAATAAATTTGGCCCAGTCTTGGTAAAGTAATAAATACTGTACACAGAAAGATGTACATGGGACTACACAAATGGTGTCGGGGCTACTAACCTTGATTTCCTAATCTTTCAATGCTATTACTCAGCCAGTATACATTTTCTACAAAAATTGTTTGGCAATTGACATTTATTTGTAATCTTAAACATTCAGTGTAAGTTTCGTTTGATTATGTGAGAATTCATTTTCTCCTTTTTTACCAGAACTCACCTTTACCTTTAAAACTGAAGATTTCACTATAGTTGAGTAGGGAGATGTTTCTATATACCCCCGTTATAGTTACGACATGAATCGCCCACTCTCTACCAAGGTTTAAAAAAAAAAAAAAACCAATCTCTACTTCTTGGAATTGTTCCAAGTAAAGGGAAAAAATACAAAAAGGAGAAAATGTTGTTCTTTCACATTTGATGAGAATACCTCGCTGCACCTCAAGCTACAAGTGGGTAGGGGCACGTACCCACACAAAAAAGAGAGAAAGAATTAAAGAAAAGTATATGAAACTTGTAAAGATATGATCCACTCCCAGACCCCACATTTACTCTAATGCCACGTTCTCTTGTATTTTACACACGCAGTTAGACCAATGTCCCCCCCCCCCACATCATTGGGCACGTGCCTCATATATGAATGGCAAAAGCCCCCCCCCCCCCCCATTGCATTGTAAAAGAAAAGGTGCGGAAAGGAACGGAACTTTTTGATCATGTAGCATGTAAGTATTGGTGTGTACTGCAAAGTTATAGAGTCAACAAAATCATAATAAATTTGGCCCAGTCTTGGTAAAGTAACAAATACTGTACACAGAAAGATGTACATGGGACTACACAAATGGTGTCGGGGCTACTAACCTTGATTTCCTAATCTTTCAATGCTATTACTCAGCCAGTATACATTTTCTACAAAAGTTGTTTGGCAATTGACATTTATTTGTAATCTTAAACATTCAGTGTAAGTTTCGTTTGATTCTGTAAGAATTCATTTTCTCCTTTTTTACCAAAACTCACCTTTATCTTTAAAGCTGAAGATTTCACTATAGTTGAGTAGGGAGATGTTTCTATATACCCCCGTTATAGTTACGACATGAATCGCCCACTCTCTACCAAGGTTAAAAAATAAAAAAAAAACAATCTCTACTTCTTGGAATTGTTCCAAGTAAAGGGAAAAAATACGAAAAGGAGAAAATGTTGTTCTTTCACATTTGATGAGAATACCTCGCTGCACCTCAAGCTACAAGTGGGTAGGGGCACGTACCCACACAAAAAAGAGAGAAAGAATTAAAGAAAAGTATGTAAAACTTGTAAAGATATGATCCACTCCCAGACCCCACATTTACTCTAATGCCACGTTCTCTTGTATTTTACACACGCAGTTAGACCAATGTTCCCCCACCCCCCCCCCCCCCAAAAAAAAAAGATAGGCAGAGAGAGCGAAAATAACTCCCACTCCCGGACCTTTCTTTGGCTCTGTTTGCATGTTTTCTTGCATTTCATACATACGATTGGTGCCCCCTTTAATGACTAAACCCAGGCTGCACCACTGCCGCGACGGCCTAAAGAATAGATTTAGCGATTTATTGTTCACTTTCACCTCACGGGCTGCTGAAGCAAGACGTGTTTTTGTTCCGCTGTCTGGTCTACCATTCGCTTCCTGGAGTAAGAAATTATTTCTCTTCTAGTTTGATTGTTGGTGCCTTTTTTCTTCATACTTTTATTATTTTGGTATTTGTTTGTTTGGGGTGTGTTTTTTTTTCTTGGACAGTTATTATGCATTTGTTTTTGTCGCTTGAACCGAATAACACTAGTACAAAAAAAAAACAACTGTATATTAATAGCGCTCCTCCAGTTAAAACTAGCTGATAAAAGCGCTTCATAATGTTATATCGAATTTTTTGTTTTAACATTTCAGAATTAAATTCAAGCTTCTCTAAAGTCATGGGCGCCCCAAAAAATTGATAGCAGAATTTCACTTAAATTGCATCACAATGTGAAAGAGGATGTCATTTAAGACACATTTCTGCAATGTGTTTGAAGTAGAATATTGAGAAAAGCATACAAAATGTTAGTTTTCTGCGTACAACAGAAAACCCAAAGTACGTATTCTGTTATCAATATTATTTTTTTGGTGGGGGAAAGAGGAAATCTTTGCAGAATCCTGTCTTATATGCCATTCCCTTTCACATTATGATACAATTTAAGTGAAATTTTGCAATTAAATTTTTGGAGAATTTGGGTCTCCCAACTTTATAGGGGCTTTAAACGGTCTATTTATGATACACGTATGAAAGAAGCATACACATGCACATGTACCCGTCTGACATTCAGAATGTTGAAACTTCTATTTGATTCTTAGTTTTAATGGTATTTACTACTGAAACCAATTCTGTGTTCAAATTGTATCTAAAACTTGATTTTCAGACAGAAATAGGCCAACATTTTCCCTACCCTGGGAGGGGCGGGGGGGGGGGGGCACTTGAGCAGGCGCTCCTTCACCACCTCTGATCATTGCCGTCTTTACTTTGACTCTTGCTCCTTTCTTTTTTGAGCGTCCCTTTCTCTTTTGATAAGTGCCCCTTTTTCCTCTATCAATATGTGCCCCTAATTTAAAGCGACTAAGAGCAACTTTTTCTTGTTATGCTATGCTCGCTCGCATTTATAATTGATATAATCATGCTCTTAACCATTTGACTTTTCGTCTTTATAAGATTTAATTTTCCGCACTGCGACATCAAAAATCTTATATATATTCAAACCATCACACCAAACTATTGAATCATCATCCGTGATAATGTGATCACCAATGTCTCAAAAGTGTAATTTTCGCGTCGAGGCTTCCCTTCCAAGGTGTCTTTTTCTCTCTCTCTCCAGAAAGTGCCCTTTTTGATGATGCCCCCTCCGCTTTGAAAGACGCTCCGCCAACCCTGGAGGAGACCCCCTCCAAAACTCTCTCCTTACATGGCTCAAAAAACCCTCGAAAGAGTCCTCTTTATATAATATCTTTCTTTTAAAATGTATCCATTTAAAAAAAATCAAATTCGTCAGTTGTTAGCAAGTATACTAACCTGCCTCTCGTTTATGTAACTATTCCTGATATATTGCTTTATTGTCCGGAAGGACGGTATAAATGTTTGTATTCGAGAAAAATGTGATTGTTGTTTAGTCCAAATTATTATACAGTTTAAAGCATCGTTACGTTTCTCAATGAAACCAAATAAAACATGTATTTATTTTATTCTACAGTGTGTTACAATGTTTAACAAGTCAGTCAAACGACTCCAAATCAATTTGGTCACGTAACAGAATTAAGAGAAGTGCACCATATCTTCTTCTTATCTTCCACGAAGTGAACAGTTCCTATTTATAATTATTTTTATTTTCACAAGATCCTTATTCAAATAAATTATCCTATTTAAAAGTCTGTACTGAAAGTACCGAACCGTTGTATGCATTGTACAGCGAAACATCACCCTGAAATAATGTTGAATATATTTATTATCAAATAATATACCATCTGCATGCCATCTATTACATAATATATTCAAATTATCGTCCCTTTCTTTTAACAGGATTTGATATACAGTGCGTCCAAGAAAAAACGAAACCGAGAATTATCGATGTTATATCATTGCTTAATCACAATTATAATTAATAAATGATACCTATATGTTAAGCTTAGATCCTCCTCTTTCATTTGATTCAACTCATATGATGCATATTTCACGCCTGAGTGATTAAAATCAATTTAAAGAGAGGTAACTAAAGAGTCATTTAGCGGAAGGTATCTGAATTTCAAAGACAAAAATCACATTTCTAGAAAGTTCAGTTTCTGCCCTTCCATTAGACACCTCAATCAGAAAAAACATGATCCAGGAATAAAAAGATCTCTATGTTTAAAGTGATGCTTGCATTTCCAAAGATAGTAGAGTTATAATTGCAAATTTTGAAAATGTGAACATTTTCCACAAACATATGCTGCGTTCAAACTCATCATTAAATATATGATATCAATAGGTATCCTGTCAGAACGACGAGATATATATATATAGAAATGAATAACTGAAAAGAGCTCGTTTCCCAAGCTCGTGACCACTTGATGGTTCTGTGCTGAAACACAGGATTGGTAACTATCACGTACATGCATTTCTGAGTTTCATTGGTTGTTGACATTTTTCTGTGCAGCTCGCTCGGCTAGAATCACTTCAGTTTGCCTGAGAAGGCGATCCACGAGGTGTTGAAATGAAGTTTTCGGCGATCATCGTTGCCGCCATTTTAGGATACATCTGTTCCTGTGCAGGTAAGGCAAAGTATAATCAATTTGGAGTTATCGTCCGGATTTTTAAAAAATTATTACGAAGAGGGGATTTTTAAAATTTTGTTTCAATATGATATTAATTGTGAAACTAGTTTCTTTCCAATTATGCAAAACTCTTTTAGAAGATACTAGTTGTTGTCGACCATGGTTTTTACGGAAATGGCATATCAGAACAAAACAGACTATGGAGTGACGCAGTTTTGCGTCAGACAAATGACTCCTCGTGTCCAATACGCATTTGAGAATACTGTTTTTCACTATTTTCCCATGGGCCTCGGTCTCCTGGACCCACCTAACGTAAAATAAGTGTTTTCAAGCATGTTTCTTTTCCAATTATTTCACATTTTTCAGAGGGTACTAGCTGTCGTCGACCAAGGAGTTTGCGGAAAGGACGTTACGAATATCAGAACAGTGCAGACTATGGATTGACGCATCTCCCTGTGAATTACATCGTGCGCGCAGTGTGTGAGCCTGACGCAACGCTTGTAGGAGATGAATTCATTATCTGCCAGGACAATGAACAATGGAGCGATTACCCATATTGCCATGGTAAGTAAAAGGTGGTTCTACCTTTTTTTTCTTTTTCAAAAGCTTGACTAAGTGTTGTTTTTTTAATTAGTGACTTCACGACAGCGTTTGTCCATGGTTAAGTCAGTTAGTTGCAATTAAGACACTGTTCTGGTGGTAAACATCTTATGCCAATCCATTACAGACAGACCGTAAATGATGTATTACATTTTTTCAAAACTGAAACACATGAAGCACATGAAATAAAGGTGTTGTGGTATAATGGGTGAGTCACCGGACTGCAGATCACAAGGTTCGAGGCTCGATTTCTTGCCGCGGCATTAACTTATATAGCAATACATGATCTACGTTTACCACACTCGAGTTATAATATATATAACTCGACCCATGTGTAGTTAGTGAGTGCATATAGGATTAACCCCATGATTGCAATGAGCGCTATACTGTTGCCGGAGCTCGAGCTCGAGCCGTGGTAATAATATATCCAAGGTCCTTTAGAAGCGGGTAGAGTCATTATAATGATATCATATGCGCTACACAAGAAGTAAATATTACAATTATCGCAAGATTTTCATGCTCACACGTTAATACCAATGAATTGCACTTTCATAATTTGATTCACTTTCTATCTTTTCATATTATATTTTGTAATCTTTTCTTTAAAAATGTTTTACTAATACTAGAGTCTTTTTGTTTTCCAGCTCCGCTGGTATGTTTTCGTCTTCCTGAGAGCCCTGCCAACGGGTATGTGCGCATGCGTGGTAAATCTGCAAGAAGCATTGCTGTGTATCGCTGTAACCCTGGTTTCGAGCTCCATGGACAAAGAACGGTGGTCTGCAACGAGGCTACGGGTAGTTGGCAGGGAGATGTACCTCGATGTTTCAGTAAGTTACTAATAGACGTAACTAAAACGTTTAAATGTTATCTGCTTTTCGATAGTCAATATTATCTTGGATTAGAAATTGCTTAAATTTCCATATTTGATGATGACTCAAATCTATTAATTCTTCTGTTACCATGCGTTGTCCTAACTCATATACTCTAGAGAATAAGCTTAATAACCAAATGAGCTATAATATCCGTTAGCATAATTGGTCTCAGTGCATGTCAAATGTTCTCCTATACATTTTCCTCGTGCTTGAATCTTCTTCTAATCTCTTTACTTCGTTGCTTTGACTTATACAAGACATATTCATATAACAAAGTTTTTTTTAATGGAAGCCTCACTTAAATTCTTCATGGCGTTTCCAATTGAGCTCTCCTTTTGGGGATTTGCTCCCTGAAATTCTGCAATATTTGCTGTACTCAATACTGTATTAAACATTTAAAATATTGGGCAGTTGGTAAGGAGAATTAAAGCATCTTGCTATTTTGTCCCATCACTATTTCGCTCATCATTTTCAGTTATAAATATCGTCCAAATTTTGTCCTTGACATTTCCAGGACCTCCATCATGCCCTGACCCAAACGAACCATCCGGGATGCTAGCCTTGGTCCTTGATGAAAGCTCTGGAATCAAACGCGGTGATCTCTACACCGAACGCACAGTATTTAACTATACCTGCCAAACAGGATACCATCTAACCGGGGACGTCACAATCACGTGTCAGCATGGCTCCTGGGAAGCGGATGCGGATGTACCGGAATGCAACAGTAAGGTTCAAGGTTCATTTTCTTGTACATAATAATGTTATAAGTTAAACACAATCAATCTTTTTTTTTTTCTGGTATTTTTCTGTTTTTTTTTTGGGGGGGGGGGGGAGGCTTTGTATTTTGCGGAATACAGGAGAAGATGGACAGATGAAGGGGCGTCGGAAACTTTGGGGAATTCATACACAGGGGCACTTCTGCATCCCTACCTTTGACACATTAAAATGAGATTGGAATCGTTTAATTGGACTTTTGTTTTTGCTCCCTTGGTAAATTTTAACTTTATTAAGGATTCATTCGATTATGTTGTTTTCATCTTGTCAATTTTTACAAATTGTATGGCGTTTGAACCCTCTCCCTCTCACCCGTCAAAGTCAGTGGCATCGTTAATCGCACCTCCTATGAGTTATTTTGAGAGTTGTTTTAAGCATTTCAGGAGAGCTTTTGAATGTTTAATCTTATATTTTTACAAATAGCAATTCACCACGCGTAACTGTAAAACATATAAGTGTAACAGTGTAAATTATTAAATTAGTTCACATAATTATAATGTGTATAGTTTTTGATAACTGGATGTGGATTAGCTAGCGAGAAATACGAACGTCATAGGATGACCTTTAGACCTTTATGTTCTTAAAATGACCTTAAAGATGAAGGCTCTATCTTTGTACGTTAGTCCGTTTGGGGAAAATTGGGAGGGGTCGCAACCTCTCCCATGGAAACGGTGCGTGTATAATCCTGTAATTGCACGGTCATTCGATGAGCTGCATGTTGGTACATCTTTATTCTTACAATGCAGAGATCATCTGTGCCCCACCCACCCTGGAACCCATAGAGAATGGTACACACAACATTGAGAACAGGACATACAATGTTGGAGAAGTAAGTCCTAAAGTTGTTTTTCATTATTTGGGGAACAAAAACAAAAACAAAAACTTATCAATAAAAATCCAAGATCATTAGCTAATGGATAGTGGATTCGTTACTTCCACAATCATTTATTATCTAACATGTTGACGCATAATGATGATGATGATGATGATGATGATACTAAACAAAATAAATAATATAATTAATAGTAGTAACAACAGAGGTAATAGTATGATTTTAGGGCCCCAGGGATAACAGTATTAATACTCATGAGGCTTCCCTGAGTTATCATTGTTATCATTACTAGTATTTATAATATCACTAGTATTATCATTATAATTTCACGGACTTGCTATTTAGTTTACTGATTGCAATTACACTCTGACTGTCAATTTATTATTGCTGATTAATGATTTATTATTTAATATTATTTTTCAATAACGTAATCATAATGTATTACATCAGAAGAGATAATATCTTAAGAATTCACTGATTTTTCGATAATCTGCTCGCCATTGATCTGTTTAGATAGTTATTTACTAATTGATTGTTTGACTAATTTGCTAATAAGTTGACTGACTGGTTAAACTTAGTGGTTAATGAGTCCATAGATTTGTTAATCAGTTAAGTAATTTCTTAATAAGTTAATTGATTAATGAGTCGGTTGTTTTATTGCAGTTTATTGATTGGTAAATCAGATGTGCAACATCACTCGCAAATGTTTTCTTCCTTACATACGCGCATTAGTACCCATATTTCATTTCATTTGCTTCGATGTTTTTTACTTCAAGAAGTTCATATTTCAATGGGTATTCTCCATCTTCGTCCACAGATGGTGCAATATGAATGTAACGAAGGGTATCTCGTCGATGGAATAAGCTGGCAAGTATGTCAGAGTCACGGTGGACCCAATGGAATATGGTCCGATAACGTACCAAGCTGCAAAGGTTTGTGGAACTCTCATTGATGAAAAGAATTAAGTCCGAGAAGGATTATTAAGTCATTTACATGTATTCATAAATAAGGCTGTGTTCTTTTTGCCTTTTTCTGCCTTTTTCTGCCTATTCGAAAATTCTCCATATTCCTTTTTGTAAAAACATTTGTTCAGTACCGAGTAGTCCTTTGTTTTCGTTTTTCATTGCTTTCGTGTACTGAACATGAAATGAATATTATCTAAATTGTTTTAAATATACATGATTGGGCAGCGTGCGAGTAAAAAGCATCTGCGTTGTAGCATGTGGGACCCAACTGAAGACTGCACCACGCGAATGTCTAGTAGAACAGCTTATCTCAATGCAGATGGGTTGGTGATTTTGACCACGGGTCCAGGTTTTAACAAATGCTTAGGTTTGTGTATCCATTGTGTAAATTCATCCATGGTCGAAATAGAATATCCCCGTTGTCACTATGCTATATTAAACTATTCGATCTACAAAAGAAGAAATAATCGAGTATCAGCTGTAATAATAAAATGTAAAACGTTCGATGCTTTTTTCGTATCTTTAGTCGCAAGGTGTCCCCATCCGGGATCCCGTCACCTTGACAACGGCGAGATTTCTTTCTCGCCGAGAAACGGACAAGACGCCACGAATTCTTGGCCCGTAGGAACGATGATGACCCTCAGGTGTCGGTCACATCTAGAGCTGCTTGGGTCAAGTGAGAGGGTGTGTCAACCCGATGGTCACTGGAATGGTACTCTAACGTCATGCCACAATGAAGGTTATTATACCGATGTTGTTGTGGGTGTGAAAAGCACGGACGGTTTGCTGATGTGCTGTTGTTGAGGATCTAGCATTTTTTTTAATCCACTCCTCGTAAAATTTACACAATCTTCTCATTTTATGCACGACATAGCTAGAAATCAATATTTATTTAAAGAGACGTGTGGAGAACCTCTCACATCAATTAATTGCTTAATATGGGATCAAATATTCCAGTTTGGGGGCAACGAGGGGTCTTAGAAAATAATTCAACCATTGGTAAGTGTGCTGGCGAGCGACAAGAAGGCAGCGGCAATGTTACACAATCGTGCAAAAGGTAGAAATATCTAATTTGTGGTGTAAAAAATGTGAATGAAGTGAAAACTATTTCGTTTACATATTAGCTGGGCTAAACATTATTCTCATTTCTAGGTTTGGGCTGATTAAGTGGTAATAGATTTTAGGTGTTCTCATAAAACAACACGGCGTGGTTATAAGTCGCATCTTCAGGATAGTGAAGTCACAGGACGGGCCATAACGAAAAAAGTTCTCATCGACTAATTGTCATTAGTAAACGTTTGAACGCGCACACACGCACACGCACACACATACACGCATACTCGCACACATCCACTAGCACACCGGCGCATCCGTCAACATGGCTGTAAATATACATGTATAAATGACGCGGGATTCTCTATCAGAGACGATATTTGTTAGGTTTATAAAATAACTGATTCCTTGTACAACATATTCTATTATATACCTCACTTAAGAAATCCAGCCATCTGATTGGTCGAAATTGCATTCATAAACTTTAACTGTTCCTGTAAAATTCCCGGTAACCATGGTTAAAACAGTTCTAAAATCCCAATAACCATGGTTACCGGGAAAATAGGTCAGTCTCCATGGTTACCCCATAGGTTTACATGTTAAAAATGGTCTGAGCGATCGAGGATACCGTACGTGTGCGAAGAATTGGTCGGTAATTTCAATACAATTGAATCTCGATCGATCTTACCCACAATTTTATCTTGCATTGTTGACATGAAGACGAAAATAAACTTCCAAAAACAAAAAAACAACATCTGCCGATAGATCTTGATCTAAGTTCGTGCCAATATGCATTGCAAAAGTAAAAGAAGGGCCCGTTTAATGGAGCAGCGGCAAAGCATCCACCACGCGAAGCCGTTTTCAATCCATTTTAATTTATATATTAGAGAAAACTGCTAGATATGGTGACAGAGCGCGATGGCCGAGCGGTTTAAGGCGCTGATTTTAGTAAAATCACCTTTTGTACGCAAGAGATCGAATCCCATCTTCGACAAAAAAAAAAATATTTTTTATTTTTTATTTTTTAGTCTATTTTTTTTCGGCATATAAAAGTATTAATGACTGCTTTAATATTCGAGAAATAGTTCTTTTTATACGCTCTCGGGAAGGTTACAATTTAGCTATTGCCCTCGGCACGCCTCGGGTAATAGCACAATTCTAACCTTCCCTTGAGCGTATAAAAACAACTATTTCTCTCAAAGCAGTCATTAATACTATACTACTGTCCCGTATGTTTTGAAGGGGATGTGTGTGTGTGCGCGTGTGTGCGTGCGTGTGCGTTTGTGTGCGCGCGTGTGCGTTGGTGTGTGCGTGTGCGCGTGTGTGAGTGCGTGTGTGTATGTGTGCGCGCGCGTGTGTGTGTGTGTGATTGTACATGGTTGCGGAGTTACATGTGGTGTACCTGTATTGTGAACCACGCCGTTTTGCGGTACACCACTTTCATGTTGTTATTTTCACTATAGAGTACGACTGTCCAGCCTTGGGGAACCCCATACACGGCTCTAAAGTCGGCTCTCCGCAGTACAGAGTAAACACCAAGGTCAATTTTCGATGCAACCATGGTTATGAGATGGTGGGTTCCGAAGAGAGGATGTGTACGTTTTCTGAAGAGTGGACTGGGGAGATGCCAAGATGCATGGGTAAGAATAACATTTTACTTTTTTTCCCGTGAAGGTAGGTGTACCCACGTAGATTATGTCGAAATGCGCGAGTGTTCACGCATCGTGAAATAAAGTAAAGTTACGCATGACTTTACGAACGACTTGTATATGAAGTGCCAGATAGGATGCCCAAAGTTTTCTTTCTGATATTTCCAATAACCTCAATTAAATTATGGCAAAAAATATACTTTGCATTAAAAATGTTTGTTATAATAAGAATGTTAATCTACATCTGCACAGTTCAACTCAATGAATAATAATCAAGAATGATTGAGCATCACTTTTGGCTTTTCATATACAAGTCGTTCGTAAAGTCATGCGTAACTTTACGAACAGCTTTATGAAACACCCCCCTGGTACACTATTTTACACATCCCCCACCCCCCCCCCCCCCCGTAAGAAAAAGAAACAAAAAATTGGGAAAATGAAATTTGTATCATTATGATTCATATTACAGACTAAAAGTGTTTCCATTTTATTATGACATCAAATTCACTGTTAAAATCTCACGACTATACTCTGTACAATCTCTCGGAAGGAAAATGTAGGTTTCTAACTGTCATTTGACACATCATACTTCAACTTGAAATTTCTGCTGATCTTAGGGGCTCACTGGGTGGGTTCTTAGATGATGTACAATCATTATTACCCATATTCGGATGATCTTGTAGCAGAAATCTCCTCTGTTCAAATTTAATTAAGGTCGTGATGAGTTCGACGAACTTTCTCGAGTGATGAATGGGCTAGGGAAGACCTTCGACGAAATCGTCATCGACGGCGGCTCTTTGGTGGGTCGAAATGACACCAGCTCGAACTCAGGTTTGCGAAGAAAACGTACTATTAAACTCTCTTCTGGTATGGATATCTACTTTGCGTTTGATGCGTCGAATAGTGTTGGAATTGACAACTTCAGGACAGGCAAGAGATTTGCCAAGCTTCTAGTGGGAAAGGTAAGAGAAGTATAAAGCAGAAATATAATAAAGTGAATGTCCATAATAAAGAGGAAAAGAGTTGATAGAGTTTTACAAATCTTTAAGTTGATGTCTTTCTAATAATAACTCATAGATGTTACCCATAGAATTGGGTTAAAATGAATAATCGAGGAAAAAAAAGTTACACACTGAGGGGCAGTGGCGGATGTTCCAAATAAACAAAGGCATATAGTAGGGGCAAATTTCCAATTTTTATTTTGGTGAGAACTTTTTCCTCGTAGGAACCCTATGATACTTTGTGGCATGAAAAGGGGCGGACTCTTTTCGACCTCAAAAAGGCTCAATATTCCTTTTTCAAAAGTAATTATTCTGGATTTATAGCACTTAAACCTAATTACCCGTTCATTTTTACTATTACTATATACATATGCTCTATACGCTTTGGTACAATACTGCCTAGGATTCGATCATAATTATATGGCGCTGTATTCCGCCACATAAATTAAAAAACACAAAAAATACCATTTTTTGTGCGTAAAGTTTAAATAAACGATGACTGCGTGCAACAAAGTTCGTGCACGTATTCACTTAGCTCTGTATGTGTTATAAGAAAACGGACATGAAGCGTATTACACTTTACGTCATCTTTAAAATTAAAAAAAAAAACGCAACCCTTTTGCAGTGTAATATCTGCACGGCCCTTTAGAAACCTACATTACAGACACACAACCATTAAAACCATTCAACTATTCCAAGGCTTCTGAAGACAAGTGGGTTTAAACAGAGCTTTGAATACGTCGACAGGTTAGTTCATGCCAATGGAGGCCGGTTTTTTATGTTTTTAAGATATGGGTTGATGAAATAATCTGATTGTGTATCTGAATATACATATATTTTGTTGCAGCTTCAAGTGAATACCTCGCCTGGTGGAACGCGTGTCGGGGCAGTCTCCTACTCGTCTGAAGCACGCAGATTGTTCAACGTCAACGATTTTACGACTACAGTTAATGTAGTTAATGCCATCGAGGCGAATGTCAATTACACAAGTAAATCTAAGCGACGTTCAGACAAGAGGCAACGAACGGCCTCAAAAACCCGCTACCGGGCAAGAATGGCAAGAGCAGGCGCGATTCTAGAAGAATATTGGGGCTGGGGTGGGGGAGCTGAATGGGAGGGGGGGGGGGCTTTCGACTTCTTGCATTAAGGTTTTGAATTCAAGGGAGATGTGATGAGTTGGTTTAGCGGCACGTTCACTTGGCCAACTCTCTGTTTTCGCCTACAAACTGACTCAGGCGCGACCCCGGTTCGAAACTGAGTCAAGTTATTCGGATGGTGACGTTAAAGGTCGGTCCCTATATTTAATAATCATATCTGATTGATATTACACACACATACACAATTATCGCTTAAATTCATTAATATGTTTTGTTTTTGTTAGGGGAGTGGGGGGGGGGGGGGGGGGGGGGGGGGGGGGGGGGGGTTCAGCCCCTACAATGTAGGGTGAAAAGGACACGTAGCTGTGTCTAATAATCCTCCTATACTATAACCCTCCTCTATGATCTCTGTGTTATACTATGAACAAGTATTAAATTGATATATCATGTCATAAACCGCCAATCTGGAAACTGATCATCTAATAATGGTCAAAACTGCGGGCATAACATTCGCAATTGACCACTATACGTCACCAATAACGCTTAATAGCGGAAATATTGCTAGGGAAATTATTGTTCTATAACACAAGGATTGCCTAGAACAGGATATTTGCTATAAAACAAACATACAAGAAATTCTTTAGATATCACTATTCTTGCATTAAATAGATACCCTTTTAAATAGGGGATGCGGTTTACTTTTACTTAAATTCTGTGTCAGGGCTTAATATGGACAATGTATACTTTACAAGCTAAACTCCGGGCAAAGATTTTACCCATGCCCCCAAAGCAGTGACTATTTGTGCATTATTTCATTTATTCATTTTTATTTTTTGCTGTGGCAGTTCTTTGAAGCGGTTGACTGCCTCTTGTCTGAATGCATCTAAATACAATATAGTGGTTGTATTGTATAACAAAGGTTCATTTAGACAGCTACTTCCATATCAGGAGTGCATCCAGGTTTATTAGTTAGTGAACCAAAATAATATCCGTGAAAGTCCAAGAACCATTTCAGATTAACCGTATAACGAAGATACCGGAAAACACTTAAACTCAGATCAAGGGGAGGGGGGGGGGGGGGGGTTCGTTAAACAATTATCCTTTTCGATGTTCGCCATTGAAAAATATATTGGCGATTATTGTGCATTGTTGATTAGTCAAGTAGATATTGTCGCTTTAAAAAATACCTCGATTGGATTGGATTGTATAATCAAATTTGTCTCGAAACATTTTAAACAACATCCTCGCAAAGTTATGTAATTGAATGGAATATTGGATGCCTAAAGAAGTTAAATATAATTTTTCGTAGGGATATTTAATGCATTCCTTTATAAACTTCAGAGGCATGCTGCAAAGGACTGATCGGAGAAGAGGTTTTTTCGACATTTATATCAGAAGTATCTTTGTGAGACTTTTGAGAGTTGGAAATCGTCAGTAGACGTGCGCTAAAATGTATACTCGATACCCGATCCTACTTTCGATATGCCTCTCGAATGTTATTTACAAATAACCATGACGTCAAAATATTATGTATATCTTTTTGCTGACAAATAGAGACAAAAACAATCTATCAATGACATCAAAATCAAACTGATTCAATATTGACATAAAAAATGAATTATTAATTGAAAAAAGAAAGAATGAAAGATGAATTAATTTTGGCTTTGGCTTTCTTGTAACAGATAAAGGAACAAATTTGCCCGCGGCTCTCGATACAATCGGGGTAATGATTGCCGAAACAGCGGAAGAATCTGGGTACAGCAGCAGGAAACGCATTCTATTTATCATAACAGATGGTAAGCTCAGCTTAAAGTGTTTGTTAAGGTAAAAATGATTCATTACTTTTCATACATTCGTTGTTTGTGTAAGAACACCATAGTGGGCATATGCTAAGGAACCTGAGGCTTGGGTGAAGAGGGGGAGCCCCCTTGTATGTTCTGGTGGGGGGGGGGGGGGGGGGCTAAAGTATCCATGAGCCCCCTCCCCCAATAATTAATAAATAGAAGAGAAGAGAATAGATTTGGCCTCAATCGGCCTGCGACCGAGACCCCCCCCCCCCTAATCCTCAACAAATATTTGTAAGCCTATAATATCACATTCAACATATTGCTCTTGAAATACATCTTCTAAATTGGACGAGAGATAGTTAAAATCTTTGAACTAAATTTCGGCGCCACATGACTGTACGTGTGTAGTCCCGCGTACCCGAATATGTGTGCATATGTATTCACTGTTTTGACTGTAAAGGCCCTTTTACACTTTCACGGATCGCATCACGGATCATCCCGGATCTTAATCCGGGTTTTCCGGCGTGCGACACCACGATTTCTTCTCGATGCCGGTGTGGATACGTTCCGAACTGGGTGTATACACGGGCAAGTACGGTGTCTCCACGGACAGACAAGGTAGCAACGCGGACCACGCCGGAAACGCATACGGAGCTAACACGGATTTCAAGGAAGAGCACGGAGGCTACTGGGTACTTTTACGGTCCTTACACGGAGGTGTACGTTGTCTTTTGGGATATCTCCGGAATGTTGACGGGTGACTTGAGCTTGTAGGCGCTCATTTGATATACGGAATTTCAAACCCGGATGAAACCGGTGTTTATACGGACCTCCCGGTGTCTACACGGACTGTCCCGGATGTATTCGGCGGCTACACGGAGGTACACGGTGCCTACAGGGAAGAGGATGGATTGTTTCATCAGTGAACTCCGGGATGAAAAATTAAGCAAGCCTAATTTTTTCCCCGGATATGCCGGTACGCCAAGGATCACGCCGGATGCCTCCCCGGTGTATATACACGGTAATGCCGGAGATAACACGGATGATCCCGGAGCGACGATCCGGGATGATCCGTGATGCGATCCGTGAAAGTGTAAAAGGGCCTTAAGAAAGATTAGTTGCATTACATTCATTTTTATTCTAAAACGTTACAATGCACATCTTTTTAACCATTCCTTATCCTTCCCTATCATCTTTTTATTAATATTGCTATTGTCATTTGCCCTCCATTTAATCTAGAACTTTTCCGAAGGTTAGGTGTTTAAGGAATACAATTAAGTTCGTAATTATAAAAGCCGAAAATGAAATAGGTTCAACATAGTATTTTTCAGTACAGAAAAATTGTAATTTGAAAATAATGTAGTTTCTATTTCATTTTCGCTATCATGAATCTTCGGAAAACATGGGAGGGGGCAAGAATTTCTTGTAATAATGTTATTATGTGTAATGTTTATACTTATCAAGATAACAAAAGAATATGTACATACATTTTGTTATACTACCTGTAATAATATCTATAAAACCTATGTTTATCTTTCTTTTGGAAATTAAATAAATACGAATTGAATTGGATTGAATAACTATTAATTCTAATTTACCAAATTCACGGCTGTTGTTATCTATCAGGTTTCAGTAACGTCGGTGGTGCCCCATCGAAAAGCGCTCAACCACTAAAGGAAGATGCGGCCCTCAAGATACACTGCATAGGAATTAGCAGGAACACGGACAAGACAGCACTTGCCGAAATCGCCTCTCCGCCTGTCAGCGAACATGTATTTTATCTCTCGGATTATAATAAGCTGGAACGCGCCGTGGAAGCCATTACCTCTACCAACAGATGTGAGTAATGCAAAAAAACATTTGGTCCTTCAATTTCCATGAAGAAAAAAACGTACTAACAACACACAAAGAATTTATTTTAAAAAAAAATAAAAAATTGGTCAATAATTGAAGTAGCCTTGATATAACCTTTTGAAATCATCACTATAATGTACTATGTTAGCCAAACGTGGTTTCTAAAATTGCCCTGAGTTGATTTCTTGGAAGTCTTTATGATCTTTTCTGTGTGAAGATTATTGGGTAAGCCTATGTAAATCAAGAAGCAGAAGAAAGTCTTGTGTTTTCAAAGTGCCTTCCAAGTTTTTAAAAATAAGCTGAGTTATATTTTAAGTGTCATATTGCCTTTTAATTTACCTTCTCTGTTCACGGTTCTACCTCTCACTTAACTTGATGAGTAACTTTGACGAAACTTGTTCATGCTTTTATTATCAGGTATACGCGTTGCTTGTTGTCGTTGTTGTTTTACTATGTTTCTGTTTTTACTTGTAATTTGTTCTCTTTAACTGAGTAGGCCTATAGATTCGGATTCGGATTCTATCACCTCGCGACTCCATGGGCATGCTTTTCTAGACAGAAAGTTTAGAGGCCCCTTTAAAAAAAAAAAAGAGGGGGGGGGGGGTCTATTGACCCCCTCCACTTCCCAGCCCCAGGACTTCATCTGCATAAAACTCTCAACCAAATACATTTAAACTTCGCATGTAGTGAATTCCTGGAAATGAAAAACAAGGGAAAATAAACTTTAAATCTACTTTTATTGTTTTCTTCAGTTATTTGCTTATTCATTCGTTTATTTATTCTTTCATACGGTCATTCATTCATTAATTTATTTATTTATTCAGTCATTCATTTATCCGCCCATTCATTTATTCATTCATTCATTTCCTATAACTTGTATTTTTTTCGATTGTTTTTGTTTGGGGGGGGGGGGGGGGGGGGTTAAAATCAAGGACATGTGCGATTAAAACTTGTACGCGTACCTGAGGTCATGTGGATGTTTTGCATTAACTGTAAAGTGACCTATTATTGAAAGTAAAAAGGACTAAGAGGACTTACTTGGCGGTCAAAATTATAATAGGAATAACATTAGGAAAGATAGAAGAAAAGAGAATTAAAAATATTAAAAAGAAAGAATAACATAAGGGAAGCGAAAGAAAGGATACAGGAATCAAAATAAAGAAATACATAGGGAATTATCCAAGGAAACATGAATGGAGGGAGAAAAAGAACTGTAGGCTTACTGAAACAGTCACAGAAGAAAGAAAAAAAGGATGACAACTCAATATGAGCTTTGAGTGTGTTGCATCGCTTTTAGTGATGGGCCTAGGTTTAAGCTATAGTAACACCTAAAAATCTTAAATTTTCAACAAAATAAATGATATAGTATATAAGTAGCACCAAACTGTGCAAAAGTAGGGAAAAAATTAACACACATGTTAATGGCAGTGATGTAAATCACCGATTAAAACAAAAATCGGGTAATTTAAATCTCGCCAATCACGATTCATTCATATCTCGAATTATTCATAATGTGGTTTCCTTATTTCTTAGCTTACGAGGAATGTGGAGAGTCAAAACATCCGTCGGGGACGTCTCGCATCGTTGGTGGTGATATAGCCGGTTCGGGGGTTTGGCCGTGGCAGGCAGCCCTTTACGATGAAGACACAAATGATGTAAGAATGCCTATGAGAATATTTTACCTTTCATTTCCAACGATAGCACTAAATAATAATAATAATAATAATAATATTTATAAAGTGCAACATTTCCATCTCTAGAAATGCTCAAGGCGCATACAAATAATTTCAATTTATATCAAAAATTGGACATACGATGAAAGAAATATTTAACTGTTAACATACATGTAAGTTTATCATGGCATCTTAAAGGTAATACAAAGTTTTGGGAAATTTCGAAAATTGGGTGGATAGTGATTCTTTACAATTTTGGTATATTTGGATGCCCCTGCGGATGTATTATAAGCACTAAAAAATTTAGCCCCTAAAACACTTCTGCTTTCGAGAAAAATTGAATATAAAAATTTACCGGTGCTCCCGATAAATTTTGATAAATTTCAAATAGCGCCTACGGCCGTACAATGGTAGCTGCGATCTTGAAATTCTCAGAATAAGTAGTTGTGATATATAATTTCCAAACGGGAATAGCTCATCGGTCGATTTTAGTCAAGAAACGTTGTTTTATAGCTTCATTAATATATTGGCCTTAAGAGGGAGCTATACAACACAAAGAGCTTATTATTTACAATTGCATAACTTTAGACTCGATTTCAACCGCGACAACGATCACTGAATATTGTAGCATCGCATATGCTTACAATATGTTCATTTGAACCAAATTCATGACCCCATACCAAAACTTTGTATTAACTTTAATAATACAATTATAATTATTTGTTATTTTATTATTAAAGGTAAAATATTCAAATTGACCAGAATCTGGGCTAGAACTATGGTCTAGGGTGGATCTTAGGTTATATACAAAACGTACTCCTTATGTTTTTTCTGTTTGAATCAGGACGGAAGGAGAGGGGTGGGGGAGGGAGGGGGGATGGGCTCGAGACTATATTCTTGAAAAGTGTGCAGTCCCCCCTCCACCGTGTAAAAACAAGATCGCTGTTTGTACTATACCGAGCGGTAATAGAGATGACATAAAATAATTGATTGATTGATTGATTTTTATTCGACAAGTTTCCAACATACAACAATATACAATAATAACAGATCAAAATGAAGTCAGCTTGAACAGGATAACCCACGAAAGCTCTAGAGCTTATTTCCAGTGACTTCCCCTTTTTTTTCATTGCTACTCTTTATGAAAATCGTCTCAAAGATTATTTGCGGGGGCTCTCTCATTCACAAGAACTGGATTTTGACCGCAGCACACTGTTTCATTGGAGACCCAATTCGTACGCTGAGCCAGAATAGAACAACTGTTTATCTTGGTAGGTCTATTATTGTATGTCAATGTACTGCATTGTATTTATTTAACAGCAATGATACACATCAACGAATTCTGTTCATTAACATATATCATAGTTAATCATACAAAATATTGGAAAAGGATAGATACAAATATTTCAAGTGTATTACAGATTTGAAGTTAAACAAAATGGAAGCGACCGTGTCCCCAAGACCATAGTGTCGACCCTAATATGCCTCCACCTATAACTTCACTGATCAATGATTGTGAACTTCAACATCTCACTTCATACACCCAAACTCTTTTATGCTCATGACAATTGACCCCAATTTGGTTGAATTTGATTTTTTTTTTCTTCAAAATTATCACTCTTCTCATTGTAATAAGATAATTGGAAATAATTGTGGATTCATGACCTTGTGATATTTCATCTTTGATATCTTATGCTGTATTCTAATCAGCTCCTTCCTACATGCTTATACATAGGTCTACTTGAACCATGTTTTGTTACAATTTGCCTCTTGTTTTTTACGTTATCGCCGTAAACAAAACATTTAATTTTCTAATACTTTCGTGACCTCGTGACCTCGTGAGCTCAAACCTCCTTTTGTTTCGCAAAACCTCCTTTTGTTCTTTACAAACCAGGTTTGTAAAAAACGCGTAAAACGCGTCATATGATGTACGAAAACCAAGGTTTTTCGACAAACCTCCTTTGTGAATTCGGGCCAATAAGTACATTATTACGGGACAACCAATACTCAAGTTTAGACCATATTTCGGTTGTATGGATACAGTAACAAAATATATGTATAATCGTTTTTACACTGTTATTACAGAATGTACATAAGTTATCTGTAACTAATTTAAATCTTAACAAAGCATCTTTCATATAAAGAATTCTATTCAGTAACTTGAACTGAAACCACCTCATGTTAACATCGACAATTGAATTAAAGGGAAGAAAATAATACGAACTCCATACAATATTGTCAAGGTCAAACTCCTGTTTCCACTTTGTAAGACTTTTACATTCCTTTATATTATGCTTCAATAAAGAACGGTATATACGTGCACAACCTTTTTTCACTTTTATTGTTAATAACAATGCTTCCGGGATGATACATGTAGGTTCAATGACCTTTGGTATGACATTTTTATTAAAGCCAAATCGAACAGCATGACAAAAGCCATGATATTGAAGAAAGTTTACATGTACATTGTATTTACGTTGAAAATCAAAGTATGAGAGAAATGATCCATCTGTTTTTAAAACATCGTTAAGAAAACGTACCCCCTTAGCGCACCAAGACTTATAATAAATTACGTTATCATTAACTTTTATTTTAGGGTTATTCCAAAGGGGTTGACATGCAATATCATTTACAGTGAATTGAGTAAGGTCTGAAAAGGCTGATAATACTTCTTCCCAAAATGGGTTTCGTATTGCAGTGGCTAATTCTTTGTAATATTCAGCCCCCATGAATAACTAAAGAGATGTATAGGTGGAGGTAAGAATGATTGGAACATATAAAGAGTGAAACTTTCAGAACGAATAAATCTTCTTATCCATGATATCTTAAGTGATTTAGAATGCATACAAAGGTCAGTCACTTTAACTCCGCCTTCATTGTACAATTGGCCCATTTGTTTCCTACTTATTTTATCACGTTTGCCATGCCATATAAATTCGAAAAAACGTCGATCGATATTATCTTCATAATTTCCAATTTTGGTTCAGGAAGAGATAAAAATAGGTAGTTCAATTTGGGTATAAATAGGGATTTTACTATGCTAACTCTTCCTAAGGGAGTCAATGTTCTTTTCAACCATATCGCCATTTGACGGTTTATCTCTTGAACCTTTTCTTGATAATTGTGATTAACCATTTCTGATAATTTAACTGAAAAGTCTATGCCCAAGTACCTAAAATATCCCTCAGATATCCAATTAAGTTTGTACTCATGTAAAATTTCTTTTTTGAAAGTTCTATTCTTCCCAACCCATATCACTTGAGTTTTAGTCGTGTTGATTTTGAGATTGGACATATTTGCAAATTCATTAAGTATTGTAAGGGCACATTGTAAATCCTGCATTGAACCGTTGAGTGTCAAAAGGGTATCGTCTGCATATTGCAACAGTTTAAGCGTTTTTTCCATTCATATGCAATCCGCCCAAAGAATGTGAGTGTCGTATTAGGATCCCAACTCCCAAGTATCTCACTGACTAACAAAAAGAGGTAGGAAGACAAAGGATCTCCCTGGCGACACCCTCGTCCTATTTCAAATCTATCTGTACAGTGTCCGTTAACTAATACACAAGAGGATGCATTTGCATAAAACAAGTTGATCCATTTCTTTACAGATGGACCGAAGCGAAAAAAATCCAGGACATTGAACAGAAAATCATGCGATACGGAATCAAAAGCTTTTTCAAAATCAACAACAAGAAGCATGCCAGCTATATCATGTAATTCAGTATAAAGTAGCGTATCATATAATAAACGTATGTTTTCGCCAATAAAACGACCACTCAAAAATCCTGTTTGATTTTCATGTATAAAAAATGACAAAACGCCCTTGAGTCTGTTTGCGATGCAACTGGATGCTTGTTTATAAACTACATTCAATAAAGAGATCGGTCGCCAATTTTTTAACAAAATTAATGTCTAGGTTTGTTTCCTTTTGGAATCAAAGTTATTATTCCCATTTTTTGTGAGTTTGACAATTTCCCTGTGAAATACGCATAATTCAATGATCTAACCAGCAAGTATTTAATATCTTCCCAAAAGTAACGATAACATTCTACAGTAAAACCATCCTGTCCGGGGGATTTATTGTTTTTCATGATTTTTAAAGTGGAATAGATTTCGTCAACACAAAGTGGACCTTCCAATAATGAGGACATTTGCGAGGACAACTTAGGAATGTCAGGGTAGTTTAACAATAATTCCAGATTAATTTCATCAGTTTCTTTTTCTGCATGAAGGTTAGAATAAAAGTTAAACACTTCCTTAAGTATGTCACTTTGTCTGTCTAAAATATCACCATTTTCAGCGGATAACTGACGTATTTCTTTATTGGTATTATTTTTTTCTTCCTAAATTTAAAAAGAATTTAGATGGGTTTTTTTTCCGAACTCCATCCATTTAATCCGGGATCTAATCGCAATTCCTTCATTACTTTTAAAACGGGATGCTTCCAGTTCTAATTTTGATTTATCAATTTCCTCGAATATTAAAGTCTTATCGTCAGATATGATCAATTTTCTTTCTAACTCTTCAATTTTCTTTTCTAGATCTTTTTCCCTGTTCACATTTTGTTTTTTGGCAAAGAGGCATATGATATTGCTTCCCCTCATATAATCATCATTAAAGTTTAAAAAAAATAACTGATCATTTATGCTTAATTCACACTCGCCCACTATGCAACCATTCTGATCAAACTTTGCTTTGTCTTTAGCATCAAATAGAATAGTGTCTTTTATCTTTTTCTTTATTTGCGAAACAAAATCTTCGTCTCTTAACAAGGAATTATTAAATTTCCAAAAACCAGGACCTCGTTTTATCTGATTCAAACTGAGACTTATACGAGTTAAAGAGGGATCTGTTCGGTAACCTGAACGAATATCAGCATTGTGCACTAATGAAAGAAGTTCTGAAGAAAATCTAAAAGAAGTCTAATCTACTCTGTTTAAGAGGGGTTGGTTGCCGCCACGTATAACGTCTTTTATCTGGAAATCTAATTCTCCAAGGATCACATAGATCTAACTCAGTCTTCATTTTATTTACTTGTTGTTTAGCTCGCGGGTTATTAACATGCAAATAGTTATATGTGTCAAGGGTTGAATCTTGTACTAAATTCCAGTCTCCACAGACAATAGCATGTCGATTTTCAAAATCTATTATAATTTGTTGAAGATCTGCAAAAAATATTGGGTTATCTGTATTTGGGCCATACATCGACGCGATAGTAATATTATATTCGTGCAAAGTTACATCTAAAACAACAAAGTTTCCTGTGATATCTACTTTAATTCTATTTATATTTACAGGGAGAGTGTTCTTAAAAAGAATTGCTACTCCTCTTGAGTTGGACGTGTTGAAAGAGAAAAAACATTTACCGTCCCATTTCCCTACGTATATCAGTCTCCATAGCTGGGACAAAATGTGTATCCTGAATACAACAAACATCATATTGTTTCGTTTTTAAGTAAAACAAAACATCTTGTCTTTTGCGACTATTTCCTAGGCCGCGACAATTCAAGGAAACCTATTTTAATCAAATTACGGTGGGTGAACTTTCAAAAGTTAATGGGACATGAGGGTTCCAATGAAAGAGCTAGTGATAACGTACGTCGGGGTGGATGTGCTTTTCGTTTAAAAAAAAATAAAAAAATTAACGATATTGGGGGTAAAATTCCATAGGCTAACATGTTAGGCTGCTGACTCTGACGAAAGGAGGCGTTGTCAAATGAGACTAAACGGAGCTAAATGGGTCACTAAGTCAAGGTCAAAGATCATTTCAGGTCAACAAACTTAGACTATGTTGTGGCATCATCATCACAAATCTAATCTGAGGTTAAGTTTTTGAATTTTTAATATAATTTTGATAGTATAAGTTATTTTTCAATGAAACTTAGACTAAAGGGTTATCAAGTATCCCCAATCATGTGAGTAGAATCTCGGGGTACTAAGTCAAGGTCAAAGATCCTTTCCGGTCAACAAACTTAGACTATGTTGTGGCATCAGGTTAAGATTTTGAATTTTTATCATAATTTTCAATTGTACATTCCTTTTCCATGAAACTTGAACATAAGGGTTAACAAGTATCACCAATCATGTGATTATTCTTTTAGGCGACAAAGTCAAGGTCAAATGTTATTTCAGGTCTGCAAACTTAGACTTTGTTGTGGCATCAACATCAAGATTTTGAATTTTTAGCATAATTTCAAAAGTGTTTGTTCAAATTCTATGAAACTTGTATCCAAGGGTAATCAAGTATTACAAATCATATGACACAAATTCCAGGTCACAAAGTCAAGGTCAAAGGTCATTTTAGGTCAGTACACTTGGATTATGTTTTTTTACAACTTAATACGATGATTAATAAATAAAAATAATTTTTTTTGTTCATATTTCATGAAAGTTATCAATCTTGGTACGTTTACTTTCTAGACTTCACTCTTTAGACACTTTTGAGTGACTGACTGACTTCTTTTTTTCCCTTTGGTAATAACATACATAAAATGAGTTGAATAGGGTACATGGGCATTTTTCTACATCAATAAACCAATTCTTGTAATGGCCAAAATTAAACTGATTGAATCTTTGCGCAGTACAAGCGTCTGCCCATTCGGTACAAGAGTCTGAAAATGAGACTATTTCTTTGGTGATAATTGCAATCACTTAAGTCGAGACTATAACTTTAGTGATAATTGCAATCACTTAAGTCGATTCCACCACTAATGGTCGCTTTTCCCCACTTAAAGACATTTCCAAGCCCTTTCGTTTTGAGGGCAGTTCTTTATTAGTATTATCTTTCGAACGCCGTTGGAATTTAACCTTTTCATTTTGTTGGTCTTAAAGGCCCACTACACTACTTGTAGCTACTTGCGCCCTCTCTATATTAAACAATGCCTAATCGGTGACCATTGGTCCCCCATGATCCTCTTTTTCTTATGTTAACTGAGAGCTGAGTTGATGAGATCCCTCCTGTAAACTAGTACTGATAAGCTTTAAAATGGGACATAGTACCAGTAGGGTTAAAGACATCTTTTTCAAAAACAATATGTTACCGTCATCCGCCCCCGCATCTCTGTACACACACACACACAAATGATCGTCTTTTGATTTATATATTTAGGACTGACACACAGAGTGAATGATATGCATACTAGGGCCCAGGTGTTCGATGTGAAGGAATTGATTACGCACCCGGACTACTTCAAGGACTCCGACGACGGAGGAGACCACAATGACATCGCCCTCTTGCGTTTGGATCGTGAAGCAGAGCTGGGTCCATTCGTACGTACTGTCTGTCTTCCACCAAGTGACCCCAAAAAAGGTATTTGAAAACGATTTTGACGTGTGAAATAGGACAGAGTGGTGAAATTGATTTCAGATATTATCAAAGAACTTGCCTAATGTAAATAATACCTGTATTATATTATAGGTCTTTCCAGGCGCGTACAGCAGGGGGGGGGGGGGGGGGGGTGGGGGTGGGGGGTTGAACCCCCTTAACATTATTAATGTGTACGTTTTAGATGAACCCCCCCCCCCCTTTGGTTTTGTTTTGGTTTTGTTTGTTTTGAATAAAAAAGAAAAAAAAAGGGAAAAAATGTAGTAATTGGTGACCCAAAAGAGCAGACCAAATTTTAGGACAAAAAAAATGTGCTCTCTTACCCCCCCCCCCCCACTTCCCCCACCCCCACCTCCCCCCACCCCCCCCCCCCGCGAATCCTCTTCTTTTTTTTTTTACTCAAGGGGGGCGTGGTTGAGGGGAAAACAAAAAAACTTTCTTTTTTTTTTTTAGTGCTCACTGTCACCCCTGAGTTTAAAACTTCGAACACTCGTTGCTTCGGTCCTGTGTGAACCCGTGTTGTTGTGACTGGTCGTTGTTTAAAACTTGAAGAGTCGCAAACTGCAGTTTAAAACTTATGTAAGAGTTCATGTTGGTTCCTCGCTTTCTCTGTGCAGGATTATGTGTAGGACTATCATTATTTCTGTCTCTTTTGTGATCTTCACCCCCTCCTCTTTATTCACTTTAATATTTTCATATCTAGCTAATTGGTTCGTGAATCCTAATGAGAGGACGGCTTACGTCACGGGGTGGGGTCGTATCAAGACGGGAGGAGTGAAATCGCAAGATCTCTTGGAAATCGGCATACCACCGGTTCTAGATAGTTTGTGTAGCAGCGAGCTGAGAGCGCGTGGGTTAGCTGTGGACACGACTACTGAATTGTGTGCGGGATCAGACGGGAGGGATTCATGCCAAGGCGATTCAGGTGGCCCCATGGTCGTGCAGCGGAACAACATATACAGGCAGATCGGGATCGTGAGCTACGGCGCCATATGTGGTGTAACCTACGGTGTCTACACCAGAGTCACACACTATATTGACTGGATTAAGGGAATCATTGATAACTAGAAAATGTAAACATTTATCGTGATCTAACAAACAAAAAACATAGTATTTTCTTGTATAATGCAGAGACAAAAATCAAACGATTAAAGGCAATATCAAAGACTTTAACAAAATATAAAACTATGTTTAATAGGTTGACTATCCGTCGTCAGGAGTGACGACGGACGGTCAACCTGTTCGAAAAGTCGAGCCCCTCCTATCACCAATCCTCTCCTTACTACCGGCGCTATAGTTCTAAGCTCAAGAAAGATTACACTAGTCTTCTATGACTACCAACAGTTCTTTTCAGTACTCCCCAATCCTCCGCTCTCACATGATATAACCGCAAGCCTGTGACTGTATATATACATCACCATAGAAGCCGATACTTATAAGCAGCATCTAAACTATGGTATTGAATCAAACATATAGCAAACTATACAATCACATCGCCTGATCACATTCATAATTATAAAGGAACAATATTATTTAATTCTTGTTGACATATTTGCAATATGGCGAATATATATATTTTTTATGCAGACTTTTGTGAGACAGCCATAGAAGGAACTGTATTGGAAGTTTTACGTACATGTAATACACATGATGTGTAATGAATTGTTTTAAACATTCTGATATTTTATATCATTTTTAAAAATGGGTATAATAAATTTTTGTTTCGTTTTGATAATTATATACTCTTAAATTACTGCATAATAATAATCTTAAAAGTCGAGAGAAAATGTAATACCAGGTGTGACAGACATAATTTTGCACTGCAATATTAATTGGTTACCCAACAACATCACGATATAACCGATTTTAGAATCCAAGGTATTATTTGGATGATACCAAATATAACTTCCAGTGGTGTTCTATTTTGTAGAAAGTTGATGATAAATTTTATTTATTTTTTTATTTTTACTTTTTTCTAAAATGTAAAACATAGGGGCACAAAAAGAATGAATAAGTGTTTTATCCACCGTTTTACCAAATGCGCACTCTTTCATTTCCTTTTTTCCAATGCATTTAAAACAATTATTTGTATGAATTTAACTATTGACAATCTTGTAATGGAGTACTCTCAACCTTGAGTCCTCCCCAAAATAAGAATGACATGTATGAAAATTTCTCTATTTTCTAAAGGACCAGTAATATGGAATAGTATAACTTTGGAAATTAGAAAATGCAAAACTCTCAATCTTTTCAAAATGAAATATAAACAATTTCTGTTAAATAAGAATAATAATCAGTAGAATAGCAGGGGCAACTTTGACACTTTTGTAAAGTAAATTTGTTAAACTCTCTTGTCAGAATTGTTGTTATACTCTGATTGTACATGATAATGATAGTATGTTCTTTTTTCTGTATGTGTGTGCTTAGGGGTAGGCTTTCAAAGAAGGAATCCATCCTTTATGCCTATCCCAGATGCTCTCATAAATTGCCATGATAATTATTGTTATCACTATGTTTTGTAATATTCCATGGTATCATGAATATATGAGCAACTTCACTATAATCAAGACCATAATCATTTTCAAACTGAGAAAATACATTTGATATGCAGGAATTATTTAGGTCTTTGAAGATTTCTGTCAACTGACAACTGCTTATCCACAGCAAGTGATTTTTACCTGTTAAGTACACGGATAGTCTCAAATATCATTAGAATACTGCCCTTTTCAACTTGCTATACATCCCTTTATTACCCTCCGAAAGAAAAAGGTAATCTGTACATGACGAATCAATTGTGTGGGCATTTAGCCATTTAAACAAACAATTCCATTTTCCTCTTTCAAAGAAAGCATGGTTAAAAATATGATTTATTATTTTAAAAATATTTCATTTTTATTCAAAATTATCGGATTTCTGAATGGATGCTCTTCAGAGTGTTTCGTTTCTAAAGAATGCCAGGTAGTCAAATTATCAATGTACCATAGAGGCATTGTTGGCTGGAGAGCGTCAACATCATATTTACAAATGCTTTTTTTTTCTTCTCAAAAGAACCTATATCAAATACGAACGTTACCATTCTTTTCCCGTCTTTGGACTTGGAAGCAAAGAAATTGAATTATACAAATCTGAAAAATAGGAAAATATCTTGTTGTATAGCATAAAGATATAAATAAATGTATCTAGAATATTATTCTATTTTCTATGTTGTATATAACTCTTGATCACCAAGTGTCGTAATTATGTTTTCTAGATTTCCTTTACTATAATCACAATATTCACGTATAGTAGCTCTTTATGGAATTAAAGTCTGTTACTTGCGTCTGCTATATAATACATGAATAAATACACAGAATGATCTTAACAAATTAACGTCTCGTTTAGTATGGCTAATTGTAAATCATTGTGAAAGAAAAGAGAGAGAGAGAGAGAGAGAGAGAGAGAGGGAGATTGTCTGTTTGCGTATAAATATGGTTGGGTACGTATGCCTGTGTGCACATGTGTGGGTGGGGTGTGTGAGAGATAAGAAGAAGACACCAGGGGAGGATCTAGATTTGTTTTTAAAGGGGGGTTGATGATGCGGAGCATCGTCCACGAGCCGCGTAGCGGCAAGGCGATTTTCTCTTGCTATTTTGAACCCCCCGTAAGTGATGTTTTCCTGGCATCTACTATTACTAGTACTAACACAATGAAGACCATAAAACGCAGTGCATGATAACGTCTTTTTAACAGTTTAATACACAGTTATATCCAGAGTTATCATTTGTTTGGATAAGTTACCAGATGAGTTGAATATCTGATTTCACTTGGCAGTCCAGGGGGGGGGGGGGGGGGGGGGGGGGTAAAGCCCCTACCCCCTACCCCCCCCCCCCCCCGTAGATCCGCCACTGGGCACCTTGGTGATGATGATGATAACAACGGTGACGATGATGATGATGCTGATGATGGTTATGCTGAAAAAGAGGGAAGAAGAAAAAAACATCATCAAAGGAGAAACAGAAGAATAAGAAAAGGACATATTGTGTAATGACCCGAGACCCGTTTCACAAAGCTTTTTTTCAATGACAAATGACAAAATCAGTGACAAATCTGCTGATAACCAATCAGAAGCAAGGATTTCACTAGCTTATGACAAAAACTGTCATTTGTCACTGGTGACAAGTTTTGTGAAATGGGGCTCTGGTATATTATGTATGTGATTACGGATGACAGACCGTACCTACCCCACTGAACTCTACGCTGTGTATAGTGTTAGAGTTCAGTGATCTAACCTCTTCGACTCAGTGGAGTAATAGTGTGATAAACACACATACAACGAACGGGCGAGTCCATTATGATCTCGAGGGTAATGTGTTAACAGTTGTTTTTGCGTGTTCGTGCTTACTGAGGGAGGAGGAGGAGGAGGAGGAGGAGGAGGAGGAGGAGACTTGGGGCTGCAGCCCCCCCCCTCCCCCTCCCCCAAACAACATTGTTCTTAATAGACCAAAATAAGGGTTTAGAGAAAAAAATAAGGAGGGGGAGGAAGATGAGAAAATGAGAGAGAGAGAGAGAGAGAGAGAAACTTATTCCTAATCTTATCGGCTGGAATCTTTTCGCTCTGTCGTTACGGTCCCTCCAACAGGCGCGCTGGTAGCAGTTTGGGATTGGGGGGGGGGGGGGGGGGGGGGGGGGGGGGGGCAAACTTCCCGGGGGCTGAACTTCCAGGGGCAGTGACGTAACGAGCAAAAACGTTTGGAAGGGGGGGGGGCAGAAGAAAAATCTGCATCGCCATCACTCTTACACGTTACATGCAGGGCAGGCCCCACGGAACGTTTTTCAAAGTGGATTATTAACGATCAGGTAGAGCGTAAAATGGCGTGGGGTCCAGGGCCTGAGCCCCGGTAGGGGTTCAAGGGGCTGAGCCCCCAGAAGCTCATGGGTTTTAGGCATTAAAATTATGGTCAGATAAGCATATTTAGATACCTTATTTGTGACACTGGCAGGCCACTTCCCGGGGGCTGAACTTCCAGGGGCAGTGACGTAACGAGCAAAAACGTTTGGAAGGGGGGGGGGGCAGAAGAAAAATCTGCATCGCCATCACTCTTACACGTTACATGCAGGGCAGGCCCCACGGAACGTTTTTCAAAGTGGATTATTAACGATCAGGTAGAGCGTAAAATGGCGTGGGGTCCAGGGCCTGAGCCCCGGTAGGGGTTCAAGGGGCTGAGCCCCCAGAAGCTCATGGGTTTTAGGCATTAAAATTATGGTCAGATAAGCATATTTAGATACCTTATTTGTGACACTGGCAGGCCACTAATTGGCGGAGAGTCCAGGAAGCAGAGCCCCCGGAAGCTCGGGGGTTTTCAGTATTTAATAACGGTCAGATGAGCATACAGGGTACCGCCTTAGGGCCCTTGGTGGGGTCCGGGGGCGGAGCCCCCGTAAGCTCTGGGGCTTTAGGCATTTAATTAAGGTCAGCTGAGCATCCAGGGCCCCGGCTTAGGGCCCTTGGTGGGGTCCAGGGGGCAGAGCCCCCGAAAGCTCAGGGGTTTTAGGCATTTAATTACGGTCAGATGAGAATACAGGGGACCGCCTTAGGACCCTTGGTGGGGTCCGGGGGCGGAGCTTCCGTAAGCTCTTGGGTTTTAGGCATTTAATTACGGTCAGATGTGCATATTTTGATACCTCATTTGTGACATTGGCAGGTCACTTATTTTTTTCTCTCTCTCTTTCTTTCTTTTTCTCTGTAACAAACTTTTTCAAAAAGTGAGGGTGGCACGAGCCCCCGAGCCCGGCCGTTCTACAGACCCTAACATAAATGCTTCTAAATAAGCATATTTTTCGCCCGACTGTAAATTTGGGAATTTCTAATTTTCCAACAAACGCATAAAAAGGTATGACTTACAAAAAAAATGAGAAAATATACCGGAAATCATGTCATTTCAGCAACATTTGTAAATCACTGGTAAAAAATACCCCCCCCCCCCCATCAGTACGCCAGCGTTCAGGGGCTCATAAGCTTCTCACCCCTATAACAAAAAACAGACACGCTTTCCCATTCTCTCACAATATGTTCACGATATGCGAGTATCGCTATTATAAAAACCTCCATTGATAAATAGATAGCATGCGCAATGTTTAGGAAATTTAAATCCTGTTAACTTTCGTTTTCTTTGAATGGAAGTTCATACGTCATTTAAAGGTAAAGACCAGTATTGGTAACGCCCCAATTTCAAAAAATGAAATGGAAGCTCTCATTACCAATCATGTGAAAGAATATGTTTTGACTAATACATGATGATAAAAAAATTGCCGGGAAACCGCCTACTAATTCATATATTTGGTAAATTTGTTTCTCTCATGGTCCTGTGAGAGATATAGGGTAGTCCCATATACATCTTTCTGTGTATAGTGCTTGTAACTTTACGAAGAATGGGCCAAATTTCTTATCATTTTGATGATTCCAGAACCTTGCAGATGCTAGATGCTAGATGATCAACCTTTTCTGATCGATTCCACAACGTTTCTTTCACAATTCAATCGCATGACCATAACTGGTCTTTACCTTTAATTCAGGTTTTTATGCCTCCGTTACAAAGTAGCCGGAGGCATTATGTTTTCGGGTTGTCCGTCCGTCCGTCCGTCCGTCCGTACGTCCCGTTCTCGTGATCGCGTTATCTGAAGAACCGATTGATGGATTCCTGCCAAACTTTGGTCATGTATGTATCTTGCAGAGCCAATGAACTGAATAGATTTTGGGGTCACAAGGTCAAAGGTCAAAGATCACAGGGCTCATTATGTATGCAAAAACAGCTTGTGATCGCGTTATCTGAAGAACCGATTGATGGATTCCTGCCAAACTTTGGTCATGTATGTATCTTGCAGAGCCGATGAACTGATTAGATTTTGGGGTCACGAGGTCAAAGGTCAAAGGTCACAGGGCTCATTATTTATGCAAAAACAGCTCGTGATCGCATTATCATCAGAACAGATTGATGGATTCCTGCCAAACTTAGATCATGTATGTATCTTGCAGAGCCAATGAACTGAGTAGATTCTTGGGTCATGAGGTCAAAGGTCAAAGGTCATGGGCATATTAAGTATGCAAAAATAGCTTGTGAACGCATTCTCATTCGACAGATGGATTAACTCGGGACATTTCGCAGAGCCAATGAACTGAGTAGATGTTAGGGTCATGAGGTCAAAGATCAAAGGGTCATATATGTATATGAGAAATTGCTTGTAATTACGATATTCTGAGCACCTGTTAATGGATTACAATTGAACTTGAAAATCGAAAAATTTCTTCTGTTTTGGTTTGTAAAATTGCTCTATGACGGAGGCATCATTTCGACTGCGTGCAGTCGAAGTTCCATCTAGTTATTATTGTTATGTTCTTTTGGGTTAAAAATACAAACCATCTTTACTCCTTTACTGCTTTTTTTTTTTTTTTTTGAGGGGGGGGGGGCGTTTTGGGGGGGCAAAAATGCGTTTTGCCCCCCCCCCCCAAAAAAAAAAATTCCGGCGCCTATGCCCTCCAATGATGTAAGCCTACTTCAAGAGTATTGTAGAAGAGTTTGTAAACCAACGGTAATTACCCCTGGGTAATTCAGCACCAAGGAGGAAAGTCAATTTTGTCTTTACAAGAGCCACACAGTGCGTATCAAAAAAAGTGTAAGCCTACCCAAGTACCGAAGCTGTGAAATCATACAAATTTATTTTAGAATTTCTCCAAAAAAAATTCTTTCATTTTCATTTTCATTTTTCTTTCATATATAATGTCCACAAATTTTGAAAGCCTATTGAATATGTTCGGTATTGGCTGAGATATGGCCATCTGAATAAAAAGATTTCCTATAGGAGCTCAGTGTCATTTTGCTCTGGTTCATAACATTACGAATTACCAGAGCAAAATAACAAATTTATTTAAAAAAAGAGAAATTCTCAAAATAAAAGTTTTGATGACGTCACACTTCACCACTCTTATATTTAAACAACCTATGTGTTGTCGAGTCATATTTCAGGGTAAAGGGTAACATTACAAATACCCTGTCTGATCATACAGTGCACTATACAGGGGCGGATCTTTTTGCCAGGGGGGGGGGGGGGGGTTGACCAAACTGTTTCCAAAAATCACGGCGTTTTACTGTATGTTTTTTCACTTGGCCGACCAAGGAGGGGGTAGTTAAACCGCCGAAACACCCCCCCCCCCTAGATCCGCCCCTGCCATATTCATAATTGTGCTGCCGCGGATGACTGAGCTGCAGGCTTTTCAAAAGTATCGTTAAAATCTATACCAAGTTGGGGCTGAAGCAATGAATTTGGGTCAAAAGCCATTATATTGTGTACATAATATGCAGTTTACATAAGCAAAATCACAAGGCATTAAATTGGAAACAACAACATTAAGAACGAAAAAATGTACAACGAAATAAACAAAAACACAGAAAACAGACGGCTGTAATATAGCTTCGGATTTTGACAAGTCTCTTTTCTTCATGGCTTAAAAAATCTTTTCATTTATCCATGGTGATGGATTGCTTCAAAATCTTTGTTTTTGTGTAATCTTTTTTGAATAAGTTTGTTAAAGAGAAATAAAAAGAAACGAACCAAGGCCACGGCAAAAGGAAAAAAAGTCTGCTTAATGCGAGACCATATATTTTACGTAAAAGCGCGATTTAGTGAAACTATTTCAGCAACTAATTCAGATTAACTTTTTAATTTAAGTGCCCCTTTTCATTTCTGATAAGTGCCCCTTTTATTTTGACACGTAGGCCTACCCCTTATCCTTTTTAATTAGTTCCATTTTCCTCCTGATAATTGCCCTGTTTTCTTTGTAATAAGTGCCCCTTTTCCGTTGTCATAAGTGCTTTTTCCATCTCTGGTGAGTGCCCCTTAATAAGTGCAAGGAGTGCCCCATTTTCACCTCTGGTAATTTTCCTTGTTACTTTGACATGTGCTTTTTTTCTTCTTTCTAATAAATAACTTTTTCCTTTTGTAAATGAGCCCCCTTTTCCTTTCCCCATAAAATATGCTCCTAATTTATAGCGATTAAGAGCAACTTTTTCTTTAATTTCACCCAAAGCTGGCTTGCTACGCTCGCTCGCATTTAAAGTTGATATAATCATGTTTCTTATTAATTTAATCTTTTCAGTCTTTCATGACGGTGTACTTCAAACCGCATCAGGATTGTTTTTCCTCTTTATAAGGTGTAATTTTTGCACTGTGACCTCACAATTCTCAATTTTTTTTGCTCGCTCGCAAATAAGTATTCAAACCATTGCACCCAACTGCAAAAGTACATGTATGATGCCAACAAGCAAATATGATATTTTCTTCGCTATGATGAAAGCAATCTTGACTTATTTGCATCCCTTTTCATTGAGTGATAACAAAAAACTGGATACTTTATTTGGGATTTTATTTTTTGTGATACTTATCAGTGTTCTTTCTAGCGTTTGGGTTTAGTAACCTTTTAGTTTTCATTTTCTATTTTAGATAAACACCTTGTCCTTGCGCGTGTGAAACTGTGCAGTCTATATTTTTACAAGACTATATATATATATGAGCAGAGAGAACTATTATATATTAAGAAGTTAGTATAGGCTGATCAAAATAATTAAAGTTTATCCTATGGATTGAAACTAGGTTCTATAAAATCCTCTATACATTGCATCATTCTAAACGATGAAGCACTGAAACACGAGGCATAATTTTACTTTTAAAAGGATTTAAGACCAAAGAAGCACATGCATAATTATTATTATGGCCTGACCAACATTGTTCCATCATCAGCCCAAATTTGGTACAAGGCGATTTTGACAATACTTTTTAAACTGACCCTCTGGTGCTCAGTCACCCGGCCCGTGGCAGAAATATTATGAATAGGGCATCATTGGACAGAAACAATTAAGTTACTCTTCATCATGAAATATATTTCAAAGTCATATTGGTTATGACTCTAGTAATTAGGAGCTAGGCACAATTTTTTGTGACACGTACCGTAAAGAGGATCGACTGATTTGAATGAAATCAGACTAACTATACTGTAAATGAAGTTGTGAAATGTTGGAGGTTGAGTGCTGTGCCACAGAGGTCAGGCTGCGCCTCTTTTGGTATGTGTCTCTGTAGGTCTGTGTCAGAGCCATAATATACATGAGTCGGAAATGGAAACAATTTTGATAACATGATTTCAAAGACACGTAGGCCTGCACATAGGGGAATCGAAGTTTCATTCCGTAAAAATCACTGTGTCAGTCAAAAGCATATTGATATATTTCTAAAGAATTATGACAAGCCCGAGTCTTTTACTAGTCTTTTTTTAGTAAGAATTACTATAGTCCTAACAATAGACTAGATTCTCTGTCAAATGATGGAATTTTAGGATATTGACTGTAAACAAAGGACACATCGCATATATGAATACTAGTACATGCGCGCTGTTTTGTCAAAGAGATTCTAGAGGGATAATTATAATTGTTTTATAAATAATAATTTTTCGAAGGTCAAACGCACCTATTATTATAGTCTTGCAAAGTTATGCGCAGTCTCCTCAATCTCCTCAGCTCAGCTAGCTGCATGCAGAAATCAGAAAGATTAGCACTGCACTACTGCACGTACGTATGCAAAACAGCTAGCAAAACAGCTGTATTTCACGTCTACACATGGCGGAGATGATGGAGGAGGAGAAGTACGGGAAAATCGGTGGAACTTCCATTGAAACACCGCTTAATTGCAAACAACTCATTAGTTTGAACTACCCTGGTGTCGTCAAGAATCCTTCGATGATGATAGAAACACTTGGTGGAGAAAGCAAGTTGACAAAGGTTAGTTTTTATGAGCTGATAAACATGTCAAGTTGTGGCTTATTTGCCTTTCCTCGTCGGTCTGCCTATCGGGGCCCTGGCCCATAGGTCTAGGCTGGAGTCGCGCTCACTCGGACCTGGTAATAACCTAGCCTTTAAACAAGGCCACTTGTCTGATAGACGCCGAGCGACTAAAACGAGACTAATCGCGAAAACCCAAGTGAACGCGAGAGCGAGGAGCCCATCCTAGTGGCCTTTATCAATCTGATTTGGATTTCTTATGTTAACCATTGTTTCCGACTGGAATTCGCTCCAGAAAATAGAGCGTCCAATCAGCGAACGTATCCTCGCACGACGTCAGCATATAGTATCCATCACACCAAAGCATCACACACACACACACACACGCATACTTGTAGATGCCCTCGAATGAGGACCTATGAAATAACTCTCGCAAACATGGACTTTTTAAATTCCTTGTAAATGCCTTCAAACATGGACTCATGAATAAGGCCGTCAAACATGGACTTGTTAAATTCCTTGTTAATTAGGCGTTTTAACATGAACGTATTAAATCCCTTGTAAAGTCCTTTGAAAATGGACTTGATAACTTTAAAGATAAACTCCAGTACTGGTAAAAAAAAAAAAATTAATTCTCACAGAATCAAACGAAACTTACACTGAATGTTCAAGATTACAAATAAATGACATGTGCCAAACAATTTGGAAGAAAATGTATACTGGCTGAGTAATGAGCATAGAAAGACAAGGAAACCAAGGTAGTACCATCCCCGACACGATGTGTGTTGTCCCATATATAGCTTTCTATGTGAGTGTTTGTTACTTTACCAAGACTCGGTCAAATTTATTATGATTTTGATGACTCCAGAACCTTGCAGTGCACACCAATACTTACATGCTACATGATCAACTGTTTCTGATCCTTTCACACCTTTTCTTTCACAATGCAATCGCATTACCAGTACTAAAGTTTAGCTTTAACCCAATGAAATGGACCTTTGACATTTATTATTTATACACATACATATGTACCTCCGAATGTGGACGTACTAGTTTGGCTAGGAGGAATTAGACCACCCAGGGTGGTCATGACAGGTGGCTATCTCATCAACTCAGCTCTCGATCAATTAACATAAGAAAAAGAGGATCATGGGGGACCAATAGTCACCGATTAGGCATTGTATTCTATAAATGGGGAGCAAGTAGATACAAGTAGTACGATGGGGCTTTAAACGCCTTCAAGAATGGACTCAGTAAATAAACAGTACAAGCATGGACCTTTGACATTCCTTCTTATACATAACTTCAAACGTGGACTTGGTAAACTAGCATATTGAACGTGGACTTGGTAAACTAGCATATTGAACGTGGACGTTTGACATTAGATAACATACCGGTACTGTCAAATGTGGATTTTTTAAATTAATCCAGCAACTATGGACTGCTTACTTTCCTTGTTGTTTGTTGTACATGGTACCAGAACAAAAGCAAATTATTCATAAATAACTATGTGAGCGTTATAGATGTGAAAATATATATTACTGGTATATACATTCTACTACGTTTGTCATGAAACCATTTCCGAACATATCATATTCTGCATGTTATACTACTCTACAACATAATGGACAACACGAAAGATTAAGGGTAGGCAACAATAATGGCAAATGCCATTTTTTAATCAAACAAAATATGCTTACGTTTTCATACACATAATCGTATGAAGTACATGGTCACAAGCTGGAGTACGTGATATAAAACTATCAAACACAATGATCCAAGTAGGGAACCAAATGTCAAGTTCAAAAATTTTAAACAAATTACAAAAACATGTTTTAGTAAGAGAAAAAGTGACTTGCATAACAAACATATATATAGAACTCATAATACATGTATGGAATTTCAACACAATTAAAGTGTTCCTTTGACGTAGCGTAATAGATGCCAACGTCACAAATATGCTGTCACAATTAAGACTGTTTAACAGGTGCAATGAAAGATATAAAAAATTGTAGGTGACATACAATAAATCATGTACATCTTCATAATATTTCACAGGCTTCAAGGTCTGTGTGAATGGAAATTTATCTAGCATTACAAGAAATTCCTTTAAGAGCAAAATATCTTTAACAGGATTCAAGCTGAACACTAACTCGCTAGCAAATGGCTATAAAAGGCATATAACTATCGGTACAACTGAAATAATTAAGTGTGACCTCCGTTTAAAGCTGTAATTTGCATTTAGGACAATTCGTATTAATTTTCTATTTCTATTTTTTCTTGCCAAACTGCATGGATCTGATTTTGAGCGGCTGATTGACCGTTTGCAGCTATAAAACTCACCAAAGAAAATTTGTTTTCTGCCCCCAAGCCAAAACAGTCTGTCCCTGAAAGGTTCAATTTAAAGTTATATTTCAGATATCTCCATGAAAAGCATGGTCTTGCTGGGCGCTTGCAGCCCTGAGTTATTGCACTATATAGGCTTACATAGTTCTCCGTTATGGGTTATAAACTCGAAGGGTTTGATTCTTTTCTTTTTGTTAAATCCTATGAACACGATCCCAATAGTTCATGAAAATTTACCTATATTTACGGATGTGCACCCTGAACCTTAATGATACCAATGACAAGGTTCAATAGTAGTAGACCAGTATACATTAACTCATAACAAGTGAATACAATAGTTCATCACTAGGTGGGAGAAGAGGCCATCAATATGAATACATTTGTGGACTGGTGTATGGTTAAATGACAACAAATTACAAACCTTACAAATCACATACTCCTAATTTTCTTCTTCACAAAACACTTTTAAGGAACAACTGGAGTTTTTACATTGTTGTACTTATACAAAAGAACTTAAACTACCCATCAATGTACCACAGGTATAACTAGCTAAACTGCTCATTGGGTAGCTAGTAACAAGTAAATATTTCATTTGGTGGCCTCAAGAATTTCATACTGTTTTTTTAGACTCGAGATAGGTTGTGACTACAAGCCTTCAAAGTAATTGTCCATCAATAGAAACTTATAAATACAAATAACAAATATGCCTAACCATTTTTCAAAATATACTGTTAACACATAACCTTTTTTGTAAATACAAACATAACACTGACAGTGGCAGATTCAGGAGTGGGTTTGGCACCCCCCCCCCCCCCTCAGAAAAAATTGTGTTTTTCAATCTTGTCTGTGTGTGGTTACAAGAATATTTTGTGTGAGCCTGAATTACACCCTTGTTGTTGTTGAAAATGTAAGAACCTTTGTATTAAATTGTTAACCCCCCCCCCCCAACCCCCACCCTAGCTAAGCAGGGTTAGGACTATACAGACAGAAACAAGTTCATTTGTTCCGTGTAAATCAGTCTGAATCTGTCACTGCCATTATATTTTTAGTAAAAAGAACTACATAACACATAAAAATTTTAGCCCAAAATTCTAACGTTGAAAGTGCAATAACAAACTGTATGACTTGAGTCATAGAGCATATATTGAACTACAAAATAAATGTGGGATTCACACTTAAAAAGTCAAGGAGCCAACTGTTTCCTTTCATACTGAACTGAAAGATAACATATCTCTAACAATTTTAAAGTTATTCTAGACTTATAAAATAATCTCTTTTACTCAAAATTATGGCTTTTTTATCATTAAATATACCAATTACCAAGAGATGTAGATTAGATCTGTCAATCAGAGTGAAGTAATTTTGTTACTATCAAGTTGTTAGCATTTTATCTCACTCCACAACTGTAGTATAAAGGACGTCCATATTTGTTGTAATATTTCTAAAAGCCCCAGTGCATATGAGAACCTCTTTAACAAACTTAAGATGATTATTTTCATATATATAAACGTTATAATGCGTTGACATACAGGTACTGTACATGTTTATTCTTTGCCCCTAAATCCTGGTCAGCATACTGATAAAGCTGAAAACTAGTTTACTGATTAAAAAGAAATTAAACATATATGATCCATGTGCTTTAAGTAATATAAAACGATACTTGTGACATAATTTATGTCTTTAAATTCCTTGCTCATACACAGTATACATACAGTCTTCATTTATACCATATTACATCTTTGAAATCTACAGTGCTTAAATCAATTGCATCAATTAAATGAGGTGAATTGCTATTAAACGCATTTATCTACACAAAATAATGTTGAAGTCGTACATATATTATGTGGAGAGGATTTATATAACTTTCATTAAAAACCAAATGATGAAACTGTTAGGGAACATTTGTTTCTTTCATACTGATCTAGAACAAATGAAACCATAATATACAAATTTAGATTTCAAGTGAAGAGCATGAAATATTCTATATACCTATAATTATTGCTTCTCTTATATGAAGTTCCCATCCATCACCCTTCATATAATGAATGGGCAAAGTCATGTCACCAAGTTGCTGAATTAACAGTTTTTCACTCGATAGCTTTTTACTTCAATAGAGCTACACTACATGAACTTCCATACCGACTGTAGATATTTTACATAAACAAAAGGAAATCTATTTGTTGGTGCAACATTTCTCGAAACCCAATTAAATGTGAATACACATTTTCAAAGTCTCAACTTTAAATAGAATCACAAAAGAAACAGGACATACAGACTACTTCCATAATATGAATCTTTCACGTATGAACTAAAGTAATCAATGAAATCAACTGAGGGTATCCCACATTTAACTAGTGACTGCATTATCTACTCCAAAAAAATCAACAATAAATTTTGTCTTTAGGGTTTGATAAAATCTCATAATGCATACATGAGCAGCATTACAATACATTACACATTTCTCCTGTACATGTATATCATCAGTTCTGAACCTAAACCTTCATGTATGAACTTAACAAATCAATTCCAAAAGGGAGGAGGGAGAAGGGATCTTGCCGAATTTCAAGTCAGGCAACAAACATATCTTTTTTCTGTCTAACTTAAGTGCCCCAATTATTTTGCATATATGTACAAGCACACAATGATAACAAATC